GATGCGGGCCTGGTGGCGTCAAATTGTTCTCGTTTGTTGGCTATGAATTCATGTGTTGGAGAGTTCGCATGCGGAATGTTCAACAGTGAAAGTTGACATTGTTACTATCTTTCCCCCCACTAGTTTTCTTTAGCTCACCGTCATGTCCTCCTTCTGATATATAAAAATTGCCATCGCTCACCTATCTGCCTTTTAGCTACCTTACTGTCAACCATCAAGTACTCAACCACCGCCGCTCGACCAATTGACTACATCTCAAACACCTTCCACCACACACACGTCTGACGTCTCACCACACCATACCATTTAATGCCTCCTGAGCCCCACAACCCCTCATCCGACAACCAAATGATGCGTGACGCCAACTTCGACAACAAGTTCGACTTCATGCACGCCCACGGACTCAGGCCTTACGAAACCGACGATTACCCGGAGGCTAAAGGCATCTTGGATGCATACCGCGAGGCTGATGCGCGAGAGAAAGAGAAAGAAGATGGTGGAAAAGTGACTAAGAAGGATTACGAGGACGTGGGAAAGGAGAGGGGGGGAGAGGAAGCAGAGGGAGATGGCGAAGAAGGTGCAGAGAATGCTGGTGGAGAATCAGAGGGTGGGAAGGGCGATGGTGATGATGATGATGGTGATGATGATGAGGATGATTGTAATGGGGGCTTTGGATACGATTACTTCGGCGAGGATGATGATGGCAATGACGATTATTAGCAGTAATGCGATAGGAATGGAGGATTGGGTGTCAGTTTGAGAGGCCCACACTAGTAAATATCCAAATGCATTCTTTAACTCTGATCCAAAAGCTTTATATAATGGCCGTTGAAAGGACGTTTCGTTGTTACATGTTCGTACAATTCAAAATCTATCCATGCCTACCCTACAGTGCCACTAATGGGGTGACGCCACCAGTGTTATGTGGTATATTGTACATCCTCCCGCCTCCTGTACACCTTAGGCAGTCGCTGTTGCCGCCGGGGTTTCTTCCACAACAGTCTGCGAAACCTCCGCTAGGCTGCGATTTCTTGACACTCATGGGGCCCTCAGGCCATGGCTTACCCAACGCATCCTGCACCTTGATCACCTGGTTTTTCAGGCCCAGGTACGCAGCCATTGACTACCACAATGCCATTCTCCTCGTCGACCTGCATGACCTTCAAGTTCTTGACCGTGACGCTCTCATTGCCCATTCTTCCGGCCATGCGCTTACCGGGTAGCACACGAGATCCAGACCCTTGGGAACCTCCGGCTGATCCCATGCCACGGTGCATGAGCGATTGACCGTGGGATGCGGGTTGTCCACTGAAGCCGTGACGTTTCATGCCCTGCGGAATCCATTAGTCTCAATTTGGAGAAGCCTCGTATTTGAACAAGGTCTGAACTTACACCAGCGAAACCCATTCCTCTTGAAATGCCCCGAACATCAACCCACATGCCCTCTTTGAACCACCCCGCACCGACACTCTCTACCAACCCGCACACCCAGCCCCTCCTGGCCCTTGACCTTGAATTCCACGACCCATCTCTTGGGTGCAGTCTCTGCCTTTGCAAAATGGCCCAACATTGGTTTCGTGACGTTCCTCGCCTCCTTCTGCCCAGCGCCTATCTGCACGGCCCAATACCCGTTCTTTTCTCTTGTCTTGTGCGCAACGACTACATTGCGGTCGAGTTGTAGGACCGTGCAGGCGGCGCGTTTGCCTGTGGTGGGGTCGTATATGGCTGTCATGCCACGCTTGAGAGCTAGAAGACCAGTGCGTAATGGCGTCGAGTGCGCTTTACGTTCAAGGGCTGCTGCAGACGTGCTATTTAGCGCTGGTTTGCCTGGGCGGTGGGCGAAGCGATCGGGTCGCGGCGTGTTTGTGGATTTGATGGTGCGGATGCATGTGTAGGAAGTCGCTGCGGCGGCCGGTTGTGCTGGAATCAAAGCCCTTATTGATGACGGCAGAAGAAAAGCCGGGGGCAATAGCCCCCAATTGAGGGGCGCTTTGGGTGGCATTGTGTGATGTGGCGGAGCGGATGCGCAGGACGTCGTGTTGGAGATGTTCGGGAAATTCTTGGGACGAAGCTACCACGTGACATCGCGCTCATCGCGGCAGACAGCCGCTAAACGCCTTTGGAAGAGCCTCACATGACGGATGTGATCAAAAGTGCCGCGATTGACGTGCCGGGCGTAATATTATCTGCAGCACCTGCAGCAGGGCGTATTGGCGCGCGCGAATAATTCTTGTCCACACGTCTTGCCATTAGCTCATACAGGTCAGAGTGAAGTCAATCGTGGCACGGCGAAAACATCATCTTTAAAGTGGCACGTTTCCTTCATTCGAGCGAGCCATATCCTGCTGGCAGCAGGTACCACGTGAAAAACTAGTCACAAACAAGTCCCAAAAAAAATCAGATCAGGGTATCCCACCAAATATGCGCCTCATAAACACCAGTAGAAAAGAGTGAAAAAGGCGACTAATTGGGTCAAAAGCTGCAGTGCCTTGCATTCGCTGACCAGAGCGTTGCCGAGATGCCACAACAGCGTGAATGTTGGGCGCTGTCATCGGCCTGTGCGTGGGCCGCGGAGCAGAAGCAATCACAATGCAAACGCTGGATTGCCACGCGCAACAATGTGAGGCGCAATGTCCTACTCAGCGTTAGTCCCATGTGGTAAGAGGACAATGGCTTGTTACTTACGGCAGTAACAACAGATCCAGATCTGATGATTGCGTGATGTCCGACCTTTACACCAGCTTCAATGACAACATTGTCGCCAATGAAAACATTTTCACCAATGTGGACTTCTGCAGCAACTTCTGTGCCATTGCTGCCCTTGAGGCTATTTGTATCGGTTGGTGTCTTAAGCGTTTGAATGGTTACGCCAACACCAATCTTGACATTCCTGCCGATAGCGATCCTAGCAGAATCGAGAAGACGACAATGAGCTCCAATTGTAACGTTGTCGCCAATAGATATATTATAGCCATAGTCGCAGTGGAACGGTGTGCCAACGTTCACGTTTCCACCAAGATGAGCACCATTGGGAGCACCCGGGCGATGATCCATATGGCGTGGAGGGATCCATTGAGCTGCTACAATCAGCTTGAAGTTGCGCTCACGCTCCCCTCTTGAGATGACCACAGATGGGTTGGCAGTGCTGTTGTAAGCGAAGACGGCGTTGGTGCACTGGGAGCGTTCCCGCATCAACTGCTCGTCATTCGGCAAAAATGGCTCTCCATTCAACATTTTTTTCCTTTTTCGGTCTTGTGCGCCCTTGATTGAGGCGTATAATGCGCTGGTTGCGGCGCAGGCGGCGCAGATGTACGGCGGCGCCATTGGTGGTGGTTGACGAGGTTGTTGTGGCGTTTGATGATGGGCATCAGCTATAGCAGGAGTGTGACTGGCAGTATGGCTCATGCTCTGAGTAGTATGGTGGTAGATTCGCGGAATTGTGTTGCCGGGGCGGGAGGGGGTCCTTGTGGCTGAGGCATGTGATGATCGTGCGACGGCGTCCTGTCGTTGGTCGGAGCGGGTGGCTGCGGATATTGCGCAGGTACAGACGGCGCATGCTCCGGATAGGAAACCCGCGGAGGCTCGTTCCAGCCGCTGTTCCAACTGCTAGGTGCAGGAGGTTTGCGCTCTTGCTCCTCGACTACGATTGGTCGGACTCGAGCACCTTCAGACCCGTTTAGGGACCGGTGATCCGAGTATGGCTGGCTGTTGCTGCGTGTCGGTTCGCAATGCGGTATGTGAATCTGATTGCAGCCTGGACACTTGGGATAGTTTGCAGTCAAATCATGAGGTGGTATTTGCTCCTTGGCCTGCAACGGGGGTGGCTGCTTCGCTGCGCCATTCTTCGACCAAGGGACCTTGCTAGTGTAGCCCTCGCATATAAAGCCACCACGGGTACAGTTGTTACCTGATACGGCATTAGTTTGATTCTGTACACTTGGGAGGCTGTAAATGTGCACATACACTCAGGCTTCGCCTCATCGCACTTCTTCTTTCGCCTTCGGCAGGTCCCACAGCCAGTCTTGGTTCGGTTGGCAAACTGTCTCTTTCTCTTTTTCGCGTCATTCTGCTGCTGTGCGGCAGTTCGGCTAGGGTCGGTCGAGTTTCCAGGCTCAAATCCGCCATGCTCGCTGAGGGGCAGATGCTGCGTTGCCATGGGCGGCATGCTGCCGTGCACTTGATCCATCGGACGCGGCTCACGCATATCGCGGTAGCCATTGAGTGACTGAGGCTCGGCAGTCCAACGTCGCTCGTGCTCAGTGGGCCGGTCTATGGAAGGAAACTGGCGGTGCTGTGGAGCCTCCATACCTCCACTCGTACTGACGTTGTGGTCAGGAGAGTTTGAACGCGGCCTCTTGTTGGGGGGACTGTCTGCAGAGTCCGGGCTAGATGAGCTTGAAGAGGCGGAACTGGTGCCACTGCGGTATCCGTTCTCGGACGGCCGTAGCTCGGTTTGTTGTGGGGGACTTGTACGTGCACTCATGCCCAAGGTGCTAGCAGATGTGCGAGGGGTTGGCGGTGAGCCTCTTCCATTCACGGTAGTGAAGGTAGGTGTGAAGGAATCCACAACTTTGTCCTTGAGCATGTATGGATTCTGGGTATTGAGTAGTGGTAAGTGGACGACGGCCGACATACTCTGCTATGTGGGTGCTTCTGTGTGGGTGGAAAGAGTAGCTTGGGTGGTGCTCCTTTGCCACGTGAGGCCTTGAGTGGTTCCTGCGATAACGATTTACACTTGGGACGAATAGATTACTTTTTCCAAAAGTCGCATCAATGAACAGTTCCATTCACCCTAGACGGTACATGCAGTCCGGTATGCTAGAACAGTGTGGGGGAACGTCGATATTGCAAGCAATAGAGTGTGCCGAAGATGCAGTGGAATGCAGGTGCTTCGCGGGTGACACGACCAGTTGATATTTACTTTTTGTTCCACGACACGGCAAGCGGCTTTGGCGCTTGTCGGCTTGTCGGCTTGTAGGAGTTGAGAAGCGTAGTTGAATGTTGGATGTTGGATATTGGAGGTTGCGGATTTGAATATGGATGGATGGTCAAGATGCCGTAAGCCAGTAGGGGATACTTGGTGGGAGATCAACACTGTCGAGGCAGGTGGCGGCGGGAGTGTCGGAGTTGGGCTCTATCGTCTCTTTGTTTTGGCGGTAGCAGTCTGGGAGGGTGCAGGGTGCAAGGTGCAAGGTGCAAGATGGTGCTGTGACGGTCAGAGGGCCACGGGCGTGGATGGTGTCAACGAGGAAGCCGTTCGGGAAGCAGAGCCACCCGTCGCGGCGAACAGGCTGTATAAAACGCAGCGCACACAGCAGGCTTGCAAGTACACTGGATGAGGGAGGGGCGACTCCAGGCCAGGCGCAGCTTGCAAGATCCCACGGAAGGCGCCTGTCCATGGCTCCTGCAACTGGGGTCTGCAGCTGGCAGGGCCCATCCCTGCCCGGCCCCGCCATTGGCTGTGCGCTTACTAGCGTTGTCCGCAGAACTGCTACCGAACACCTCGACAGACTGTAGACTCGCGGTTACTGCGTCTCTCCACGCGGCTGCTTCGATCTGTACATCTGGGCAGGGGTCCATGAGGCTCTGCCACGTTTTTTTGGCGAATTTCCGACGTCTTTCACGATCTTGTCGAGATGTGCGAGCTTGGAGCTCGGACCAGGGGCCAGGGTGGCAGTGGGTCCCTTTTCGAGGTGGTGTCACGGCGTGCAGAGGCACCTAACGACTTTCGGCGATCATCAACTCCAACTTCACATTGCCATTGTCGTCGAGAATCCAATTGGCTGCCGCCCGGACGGGGGTCTATATTTGACGCGCCTCGATAAGCGCGCGCGGATGCTCGCTCCTGCCCAACCTACACCACACGAAAAGCATAAGGACGGGCCTCGGGAGCCTCGAGCGCACAATCAACCACGGCAACTTGCAACAACGCCTTCACCAACCAACTCTCGCCCACGCCCAAGCCCGCCAGCACACGGCTCCTCGCAGCCGTGCGTGTGTGCGTATCGCCCAACTTCTCGCGCGCTTCCCCCAGGGGTCCGTTCGTTTGCGACAAACACTGCCTCCTTTTAACCGCCCCGATAGACTCGTCTGTCCCTGTCCCGAAAGAGCAGGCCATCAAGGCCCCGGCCAAGTTTCAATTAATCAACACTTCGCCGCCCACTCCAGTCTCTTCTTCTCATATGACCCACTGCCTTGTCGAGCTTCCTGCGCGCGCCGCCTTCTGCCGTTATGTTGACGTTCCACTGTCGATTGCAGTGTCGATGGCAGATGTCCGATGCTGGATGCTCAATGCTCGATGATGATGCTGATGCTCGATACACGCCCATCATTCCGCCCGTGTCGGCTGCGAGTCGATCCACGCGTGTATTGGTTGGCTAGCCGGCCCGTTTCTCAGCGGAATGTCACCTCCCCTGAGAGCGTCCTGGGGCGTCCTGGGGCCAAAGGCCGCTGCACGCGCCTTGTGCCTCTCCCGCTTCGCCCGACAGCACACGCGGTGACATTGCTCACCAATGCTACTACACAGCCAGAGAGCCGCGTCACTCGTCGGCTAAAGCGACGACTCAGGCTTCCCGCCCGTCGCGTTATATTTGCTTCCGTGCGATGAAAATGCCAGCCGCTGCCTGATCGGTCTTACTTCAGGCCATTACCGCACACCACCAATGGAATGTGTTGCCTCTCTCGTCGTTGTGCATCCAAGATTCATGACCCTGCCTAACGCGCTGCCCCTCGGCGCGTACAACAGCAACGCTGTTCTGTCGTGCTGCTGTAGGAATAGCTTCAACTCCACGTCATGGCTCATGGCCTGGTGGCCAACGTATCCAGTTCTTCGTTTCCTTGGGGGGGCACAGGCGGGGCGTGCCGCTCCCGCTAGCGATCAAACAGAGCACTGGGGACGACATCCAGCTGCTTCATGCGGCGCAGTTGCGATCCAGCACCTCGGTGCCCATGGACTTCGAGACATTGGAAAAGCATACATTCCATTGCACAGGAGTCTTTGGGAAGCAGTGAACCGTCATGCGCTACGCTATGGCTCTGATCCTCGATGGTAGCCTTAGTCAGCCTAGTCTACAGGATTTGTGCGCTTATCGGGTAGCGGCTTTGTGGCTGCCGTTGCGCTGCGCGGATGTAGGCGCTTGCTGGCGAGGATATCCGTCCCCACGTAGCGTACTTAATTAGGCTAACAACTACACTCAAGGAGCGCCCTTGCTTTGTTCCTTCAAGGTCGAGTGCAACCACTGCTACGGAATATCTTGCCGTCGCGGCTCTGTCGCTTACAAGCATGCGCAAACTATGCCGTCACGCTTTGCCGCGAGTTAAGTCGGACCGGTGGAGGAACCCTCTATCACCTCGTACACACCATCGCCCTTCGCCGGACCAGCCAGTCAACTGGAAACAAAATGTAAAAGGCTTCTTCCAGCAATTTCCCCGTTCCAAGACATATGCGGTGACAAAGTGAACGGCGCAAGCTCGCCTCAATGGCACTTGATGCTGCTTCGCCAGGCGGCAGTCGCCTTGGCCTACCCGCCACGCATTTTACTGTGGTAGAAGACACTCTACCCCAGATTTCGCCACCAAGGTTTGCCCAAACGAGCGCTTTCTCAAACATAACCAGTCGCACTTTGACCAGAGGTTTTTTAGTTGTGTCCGACCATATCCATCATTGGGTGCCCCGGTCGCTTAGCGTCTACTGCAGGCCGTGATAGCCAGCATAGGCAAATGGAGCGTGCAATATCAATCCCCGATGCTAGTCTGCAAGTGTGCGGCACTGTTTTACTTCTTCATACTTCTATGACTGAAGGGACGCCGCATAAAGTCAGCTCGCTTACCTTTTGCTAACCCGTTTTCTTACACGCCCCTCTACGCTATCGCGCGTGGAGATTGTGGTCGGCGTCAGGAGACCATTTAGGGCTGCGGCGCGGTTGCATAGGTATCTAACATGGGGCGTCCCCGGCGCATGTACCCACAATCCTCACGGAACCAACAACAACTTTAGCAATGCTGCCACCACTGGTGTCGGCCATTGCAGCCGCGTCCTTGCATTACAGCTTCAAAGAAGGGGCAATAGTCAAGAAAACTACTTTCTCGCCGAGACCTTGGAACCGACCCTTCGCTTACCGCTTCGATATTGCGATGAATGGTGTAGGCACATGACTTCGGTTTGGACGCTGCAAACGTTCAATCGATGCATTGAATAGTGTTACACAATTCATCAACGTCGCCATTCTGTCGGTTGTTCACACGTGCTGATGTCACATTCAAGAAAGCAACGTACTTCTGTTACCGCAAGCGCCCAACCAAGCGCTCCAAGTTTCGGAACATGCACGGTCGCCCCGTTGCTTGTTTCTCAAGGCTTCTGACCCACTGGCGCCTATGGAGACGCACAGTGCACCTCAGCACATTATAGAGCCATGGAAGTCACTCCGTGGATTCTCACTCGCTCGACACAGGCGGTCAATCCTGCAATGTGCGCTTCTGAATCACGTCCAATAGATGATGAGTCTGTCACGCGGCTGCTGGCGATGCTGGGTAGCATTGAGCCACCCATCAGATCGAATTGCGTTGTTTCGTGTCCGCTAGGAACCTGAGCAGTGTGTTCATATATTGGATGGTGGTCAAACAGGCAGGAAGCACGAGGCGGTAACAAAGAACCTTGTACTGACTGCGACTAGACATACCCACTCAAAAATGGATCCAAGCGCAAACGTGGAGTGTGCTGACGAAGCTGTTTGCCGTTCGGATGCTCCAGATCAGGTCGACAGGGTGGGATCGCATAATACTCTCGTCATAGGGACTCCCTGGCTCTTGGTGCTGCAGGCCAACTTCGAGATGTGCTGTTCATGGCAGCATCACTAGTCGCTCACTGTTCTCTGTGGGTCAATAATGTTGGGTAACCTCTTTTCCGGGCCCTGCCTGCCCTACCTGCCCTGCCAATGCCCAAGATGACTGATGTTCCAATCACGAGTACGATTCAAAAGTCTTCCGGAATTGACTGGACGCTTCATGCGAGCTGCCACCCACTCGGGGCCACTGTTCATATTTCTGACACAAGTGAGCTTGAGGATGAGGAGTCTGTAGAGCCGGCCGGTGGGGTATTGCAATTACCCATGCCCGTTCAGAGTTTATGAACGATACGTATGTGCAGAGCCCCGTGTGTCTCAAGATGACTCCGATGCCCTAGTCTTGCACAAAGCGTGCTATCTCTGGAGTCTACATGAGATTGAAAAGGTAGAGCGAGAGTTCGCTGGCCAAACTATGATTTGGACATGAACCCCTACGGAATTTCGACGACGACCGATCGGCAAAGAACCGGCAGGATCACCAAACTGCCTGAACGTGCCGCACTGATTTCGTTTGTTGCTAAGCATCGGGAAGGATCACGGCAACAAAGAATACAGAATCCTGGCTTTGATGACAGGACCTGCGGGTATTTATAGCTCGGCTGCCTAAGCCCGCGAAGAAACTTGACGGCAATTGCATCGGAAGCCAAAAAAAATGTTTTTAACGCTGATACGGATTGGTAAAACGGAGAAAGAATACAATTGGAAGAATCGTTCTTGTTCGTCTAGCACACGGGCAGTTGAAGTACTAAGAAACAGCAAAAAGGTGTAAACTCGACTCGATGTAGATGTTGAATGATGCCTCTGAGAACTATACTGAGATCGGTCCGCCCAAACATTTCTTTCTTCTTCAGGCGGCGACAATAGTGAGCTGTCAAACGTATTGAATGAGCCTAGAATTCTTGAAACCTCTAGTCTTGTGAAAACAGGCCATGCATGATGGGGCTAAAAGTACCCGAGTCACGTTCTAGGGATTGAGGCTTGATACTCAGTTCGGTGCTTATCTGGAATATGGTACTTCTCACCAGCACCTCTGTGTCAATCTTGGAGTTCATTCGTAGATGATGGCGAATCATTCGTAGTAAATCAAAAAATATCAACTGAGGTTTGCGCATGTCATACTGTTGTTCAAAAGGAGCAGCAACAGCCTTGGAATGCAACTTCCACAGTCCACCGACGGCGACAAAGGGTATACCCTATGCTTCTTTCTCCATATGTCCAAATAACGTGGCACGGAGAGGTGGCGGCGAGGACGGTTTTCAAGTATAACAAAGAATATATAAGTGCCCAAAACTATTTCCCTATTTCCAAATGTCCGAACTGGGGGTATCTGAAACAATGAACTATGCGCATGTTTAAACTTGCTAACAACACAAGGGAGAAGTGGAAATCTCGACTGCGCTCTTACATTCGGTGCTTCCTTCTCTGGTCGCCTGTTATCTCCCCATACCTTCTTAATCTGTCTTCCAGTGACTCGTCAACCTGCCATCGTCGTCGGCATGCGAAATCTTGAGCTCAATGGCATACAAGCCCATTGTAATGGCAAGATTGATCCATCTCCAAGTATTCCCACCTACATCGCCGCCTTGGTTCGTCCACCACTCGCCAGTCACGGCGCTTCCATCAGCGCCGTTGCCGCTGGCGAAGTGCTGCATCAGAAGACTGGTGTACACGGCAATGATAATACTGGGGCTGAACCATGTCAGAAATCCAAGGATCTTGCTCGTTTCGTCTTCGTCATCCAGACTGGGCTCTTGAGACAGAGCTCGTGCGCCAGATTCTCGGACAGCGGGGATGATGCGCGCTGCAGCATACATGACGAAGACACGGTAGGCGAGGGAGATGATAACAGAAGGCGTGATGGTCATTATGGCACCGACCATGAGGTTGAAGCCGGTGTGAATGATTGTGGGAAGGGAGCCCATGGCGTGGAGAAGAGTCGTGTAGGATGCCATGATGATGGGAGGTAATGGCGGTAGAGCGGGGTCTTGAGGGGCATTTGCTGCGGCTTTGGAACCAGGCGAGGGCTGGTAGTCGGTGAAGATCTGATAGATGCAGAGGGTCACGTAGGCGAACTGACGCGAGTTAGCTAGGTGAGGGATTCTAGGTGGGGTGCTTACAAGCAAAGACGATTCGACTGGGTTGCCTCTAGCACTGACAATGCCCCATCCACCAAGGAATATGGCGGTAGTAATAGCTACACCGATGAGGATGGCGTCTACGTTGCTGATCTCGGGGAAGGTAGTAATGCGCCATAGGAAGTAGACAGACGTGGAGATGATGGAGGCAGAGCTGATCAGGAGGCCAATCTATGCAACTGTCAGTATACTGTTTCTTTGCGCATGTCGAATGAAGGCAGTCTCACCATCCACGCGTCTCCACGCTCCCTGTTCACCACCCATCTGGTGATTTGTCCAGCGGCCTGGATTACCAACAAGCTGCAGAAGCCCTCTGCCATCTGGAATACAGGGGTGCTGTACCTCAGGCCGTTGTCCCACGCGCTGATCGAGGCACTCTGTATCAGGCCTTGGCTCCCGAATATCCACTCGCTGACGGTCTTGTAGTCGGATCTCTTCCCGGCGAAGGTCCGCTCAGCCCAGCGTGCATTGTTGGTCGCGTCGATGGAAAACTTGTTCAGACTCCAGATGAGCAGCGTCGGTATTGCCAGCCACTGGGCCCACGCCGCCATGTTGCAGAGCGCCCATCGGAAGCGTGATTGATCGGGCGTGGCTAGTCTTAAGACCGAGTAGAGGAAGTAGTATGTGCTGAGGCCCAGCGAGAATGCCAGTCCACATGTGCGGCCGCCGATGTCGAAGGCCAAGGGGATGGTGAATATTATGGCGCCCAGGAAGGTGGTCGACGAGAGCACTCTAGTAAGCCACATCTGCGTGCGCCGTCGTCGCCAAGCTCGTTTTCCAACGAGCCTGACCTCTGACGTGCGCTGAGGCGGCGGAGAAAGATTCGGGGCGCGTGGTGGACGCGCAAACAGCGCCGGGGAGTCGTCGGGGGGTCAGTCGCGGTGCGGGCAGCGGCGTCGGAGTTGCGGTGGGCGCGCACAGGTTTCGTTGCGTGCGGTGGGTCGTGGCCTCGCTTTCGAATCGTGGCTCTTGGCGGGGGAAATCAATCTTCACGTGCAAGTCGACGGGTCCACGGAAGCTCGAGCTTGGTGCAGAAGGAGCAGGAGTGATCCTGGCAGACAGTCCGTGGTCGGATGGCCTGCGAGAGAGGGGGTTTTTTTTTGCAGGCAGCAGAAAGATGCAGGTGGCTGCGTCAACAGCAATCTGGCAGGCCAGGCACAGATGCAGGCTATTGGTGGTCGTGTGCTGTCGCGTGTAGGCGGCCGGGGTCGTTGAGGCTCGTTATAAGGGCAGAGCTGGATGTCGGTCGGCAACAAAATTCAACACATGTGTTCACTGGACACGGCTCCAGCTCCAGTAAGATGACAGTATCCTCTCTGCAGCTTGCCAGCGGGAAAGAACAGGTTGCGAGAGGCTGCGGACTGCGAACTGGAAATGGCCCAAAATTGCATAGCGCCCGCGTCGTTGGAAGAAGATGGGTCCGCGGGTGCCAAGTAATCTGCGCCGCGGGATGGCTGCCCTGCTTTTGTGCCCCACTCGTCGAGCCTCGAAACATTCTGCAGAACCAGAACAGCAATTGTATGTTTGCACTGAGGCCCATACTGCTGCCATTTGCAAGACTGACTCCAGTCGCCTCTAGACCCGCCATCGCCCGCAACTACACGTTTCTCAAAAAGACCATGGCCACCGAATCCCCCTCCAAGAAGCTTAAGATGGAAGCGCCTGTAATTGGCACGCACAAGTGAGTTCTGAGTTCTGAGTTCTGAGTTCTGAGTTCAGAGTTCATCCATGGCGCATTGCAGTGAGGGGTCTGACCACCGCGCAGTGGCCACTTCCACGCCGATGAATCTCTGGCAGTTGCCATGCTGCGCCTGCTCCCCACCTATCTCGACTCGCAGCTCGTCCGCACCCGCGACCCAGAAGTCCTCGCCAAGTGCCACACCGTCGTCGATGTCGGCGGAGAGTATGATGACAATGCTAAGCGCTACGACCACCACCAGCGTGGCTTCGAGACTGTCTTCCCGGGACACAACACCAAGCTGTCCTCGGCGGGACTCGTCTACCTCCACTTTGGCAAGGACATCATCACCTCAGTCACCGGGCTGCAGGGCCAAGACCGCGACATTCTGTTCGAGAAGATCTATGCCGACTTCATCGAGGCTTTCGATGCGAACGACAACGGCGTCAACGTCATCCCAGCCAAGGATCTCGAAAAGGCAGGATTGGCCAAGCAATTCGAGGACCGTGGCTTCAGCATCGCAAGCGTCGTGAACCGCTACAACTATGGCCCTCGCGCTGCAAACGCCGAGGACACCAAGACGCCAGAAGCCAAACAGGCAGAAGAGGACGTGCGCTTCTTGAAGGCATCGCAATTCGTGGGCGAGCAGTTCTTGATCGAGCTCACAGACCGCGCAAACTCGTGGCTCCCTGCCCGTCACTCTGTCAAGCAGGCATACGATGCGCGACTACAGTACGACCCTCAAGGCCGCATCCTAGTCCTCCCCGAAGGCATGCCCTGGGCCGACCACCTTTACAACCTCGAGAAGGAGTCGCCCATCCCGGAGGGTGTTGCGCCACAGGTCCTGTACGTCTTGTTCCCAGAAGACAAGCCCGAGGGCAAGTGGCGCATCCGCGCTGTCAGCAAGGAGAACGGTGGCTTCGTCAACCGCAAAGATCTGCCAGACGCATGGAAGGGCGTCCGTGACGAGCAGCTGGACCAGATCTCCGGCGTGCAGGGCTGTGTGTTTGTCCACGCGGCTGGTTTCATCGGCGGCAACAAGTCGTTTGACGGTGCTCTGGCCATGGCAAAGAAGGCTCTGGAATTGTAAACACGCCGGCCGTGACGAATGACGCACGAAAAGGTTACAGCATGGAAGGGCGTTTTGGCGCATCATACAAAAGTCACGATACCAAGCACAGATTGTGCTTTAGGATTAGGATAGAACTATGGAAACATAGTAATCACCACCAAATGGGTGGTTTCGGTCGCCCAGAGTTTCACTTTCTTTGTTTCAGACCTGGTGCGGTACTCGACTACCATGCAAGAATGCTGTATCGATGCGCTTCAACAGCGTACACACAGATATGCTCATTGATTATGGAAGCAAACCATGGTATTGGCTGAGTCTATCCAAGCGCAAATGTTTCCGCCATGTTTCGATGCTACGCTCTCGTTGGTGGACAGGCGGCAATGATGGATGTGGAGCGGGTATAATCGTCATACAGGCCGAGTCGGGAGCTGTCGGGCACACGACAGCCATGCTCGCAGCCAACGACAGGCGCCGTGTTCTGGGCTCGTGTCAGATCTTTAGCCGCATCAGTCAGGCACCTTCGCTCGCGGGGCTGCTTGTGGCGAAGATGGCGTAGATGTTAGTGCTGGTCGTGTGTTGAGAACGAGAAGATGGCATGTTTCCGGCTCAGGGTCCACGATGCCTTCTTTCTGACTCTCTCCCTCCATCCTCAATTGTCGTTTGATCTGTCATTTTCGTCGACGAAGCATTGCACTCGCCCCAAAGGCAGTATATTGCGATTGCAGGGAATTGATAAGCGTTGAACGACCCGCACTTCCCCGATCGGCCGTTGCAGGCTCGGAACTAGATTTGACTAGATTTAACCCTGGCCCGCGCTTCCTTTTTGCCTTTACCGACATTTTCACGAGCAAAACTCCCCTGCACCGAGACAACTCATCACCCACGCACACCGCCCACACCAACGGCTGCACTCCACCATCGATAAGCCGCGAGTCCTATCACCCCGCCATAGATAGTTGGTCGATAGCGACGCACACAAACAAAATAAAAAACTCCCTCACCAGGACGACAAACGCGACACCGGCACACGAGCAAAATGAAATACTTCCAGCAGACAGTCGACTTTGACTACTCCTGGGAAGAAGTCTCGACGAGCAACTGGCGCAAATATGGGCCCTGGAACGAGAAGACGCCACACGTAATCGCCGTCGACACGCTGAGTCGGACGGTAGATCCGGCCACGGGCATTGTAAGCCACTCCCTCCCACGCGATGCCCCTCACATCATCGCGACCATCATGAGAGCCTTGCTAACCCACCAGTAGCTGCGATCAGAACGCCTCATCACATGCCGGCAAAGCGCGCCGAAATGGGTCACCTCGATCCTCGGCGCCCAAGATCTGTCCCATGGTCTATGAGACCTCGTACGTCGACCCAGTCGCCAAGAAGCTCACCCTCTGCTCCATGAACATGACCATGTCCGACCTCATCAACGTTCGCGAGACATGCATATACCAACCCACTGCTTCTTCCTCGGCTACCGCACCCAGCACAACCTTCACACAAAGAGCCGAGGTAACAGCCCTGTGCGGAGGCTGGCAGAAGATCAAGAACAGCATTGAGCAGTTCACTGTTGAGCGGTTCCAGCAGAACGCCGCCAAGGGCAAGGAGGGTTTCGAAATGGTGCTGGAGAAGGCGAGACAGGTCTTCCAGGAACAAAGAGAACTGCTACAACTGCAGCAGCAGAGTCCAATCCTGAGGGAGGCCAAGATGTGAACTGCGACCTCGACACTCGACTCCACCACTACCTATCCACCGCAGCCCTAGTTTCTGCATCTCCACTTCTGTACATTCTCGCATTTTGAGCGTTTTCCTCGGGTCATCACAAAAAGTCAATTTTTCAAGGCGTTTACAAAAGGCATGGGCTAGGCGTTTGCTATACCCACGCTCACGAGCACTAGATGCTAGATACGCCTTACACGATAGAAACGCTAGAACCTGAGTTAGATCAGAGTAACTGTATAATGTCACTCACTTTATATACTGATTTGAGGTTCCGATCAATGTACAGTCTTGAAGTTCATTTGACCAAATTCTCACGCGTCTCATACTTTATCGACATCTCTGCAGTATTGGCACCATGTCACGCCTACAGAATGTACCTGAAACCCTTGTTATCAATCTCCGTCACATCCAACATGCCCTTCTCGACTGCCTCTCTCTCCTCTTCTTCCGTCAACCCCACGACGCCACCCGCAGCCTCTGCGTCCCGCTTCTTGTTTACACTCCACATGTACGCAAACAAGACCAACACGGCCGCCAATTTGATCGAGTATCCGATCAACATGGCAATGTACGCGCTCTCGTAGCCGGGCTTCTCACTGTCCTTGAACGTTTGAGGTCCAATGATGTTGCCTACACAATACCCTGTGAACAAGGCGGCGGACGTGAGTTGCTTCTTAGTGGTTCCCGCAATGTTGGAAGACACAATTGTGAGCGAGATGGAAAACCCAAGACCCTGGAAGTAGCACAGCCAGAGACCGATCAGGCGGCCCCATTTCGCCGTGTGAGGCAGTGCGACGAGCATGGATGCGCCAACAATGCAGATTAGGTTTGCCACGGTCATGGTTATGCACCGGCTATTGGGCCAGTGAGTGCATATGAAGCCACCGGCGAGTAGCGAGAGGAACTGCACGGCGCCACCGGGGATTTGCAGATACTGCGTTTCCGAGCGTGTCGACGCCAAAGGACTTGATGATGATGGAGGAGAAGGAAGTCAGCGCGGAGTTGGGGATCTGAGCGCCTGTCGCCATGATGAATAACAGCCACGTCTTGGGATCCTTAAGCGTCTGCCAGGCTTGGTAGGATTTGAAGTGCCTGTTCTTCACGCCCTGGCGATTGGCTGCGACTCTCTCGACGGCGACTACGCGTTCCCGTTCACTTAGGAATGGGGCCGTGGTAGGCAGGTCCGGAAGGAATAGTAAAGTGATGATACCCATGAATGTGGAGAAGGTGCCGAAGATGATGAAGACGTACATCCAGCGCGGCAGGCCGGTCGTGATATGTCCGACTGCATAGCCAATCAAGCCACCAAACATGGTTGCGATTCCGTTCGTGCAGTAGTATGCCTCGAGCCGTAATGGTTGTTCGGCGGATGTATACCACATACTCATGATCAGCACGAAGCCTGGGTTCACGGTAGACTCGAGAAGCCCTAGGAGGAAGCGGTTTGCGGCTGTGCCTGCAAAATTCGTGCACGCAGGTGTGGTCATGAGAATCACGCCCCAGCCGATTGTGCAGTAGCCGAGGAATTTGGCGATGGGCAGACGCTGGAGAAGGTAGCCGGCTGGATATTGACCGACGAGATATCCGAAGTAGAAAATACTTCCTGGAACATGTCAGCGAATTATTTACATTGGAATGATAGTAAAGTGTTTACGAACCGAGCCACGAATATCCATTCTTGCCCAAATTCGTGCCTTCAATGAAGCCGTATGCAGAAGCATAGTTGATTCCGTTCTTGTCAAGATATTGGAGCAAGTAGATGAAGAAGAGAATAGGAACGATGCGCTTGTCTATCTTGCGTAGCGTCTTCTTCGCCTCGGCCGGGTCGACTTCAATGTCGCGGTTATTCTTGTACGCCTCATATGCATCGTCCAGATGAGACGACGACGCAGAAACCGGAGGCGAAGGCTGAACCGTCTCGATGTCCTTGTCGAGCGACGGCATGGCGAAAGTACAAGTAGTTGCGACGATTAGACAACGTGCAAACAGAAAATGCAAACTCGCACGACCTCTTTAAACATTTGCACAAGCGAGCATACCACCTACCAGGCAATCTCTCCTCAGTCAGTCTTCTCTCTCAAGTACCGAAGCCATCACACCATCCCATTCGCCCAAACCCACCCGCCAACCCGCCATACCCTTCCCAACAGCGTCCCTGCCCACGTTCCGATGTACCAAGCCCTTGGTGCTCGTCCCAGAAAAGCCATGCAAGCTTAGTGACGACACAAGCTCGCGGCGTCATTGGCGTGGCGTGCATGTGTGGGGTATCATGGGCGTTTCTCAAGTTCGATGTCGTGATAGTATGCTGGGTTGACGCGAGATGTCGCGTGCAGGAACGGGTAAGGATCGGCGGCTGCATGTAGCCGGATAACATCATTGCGTGCTGGGAATGCGAGTAAGGGTTGGGTTTTGTGAATAGTGTGAGAGGGAGGGCCCTGTATGTAATGACTCGTGGTAAGCTATGAAACCTACACCGGAGTATGTTTCGTTGTTGTAGTGGGTGAAGTAGTCGAGGTGTAGGTGGTTCAACACACCTGCGACTACTGCGTTATGGTAGTGCAGCACGTTCAGACTCCTTCAACCTGCGGTTCTACGCAATGAACTAACAGAAGTTCCAAGATCAATCATAGTTTTCCTTTATGAATATCTCCCGTAAATGATGAGATCGTTCCCTCGTGGAAAGATGCTGCCAGGCTAGACTTGTAGCGTCGTTACACCGTCTCTTATATCATCTAGGATTTTTCGCTGAATGCACTGAGTCATTATGTCATTCCCTCGCTCTCCGTAGTCATCAAAGGCCCGGTTCATGCAGTAATACGTCGATATGGAAAAGCCACAAGCGTAGTGACAATGTGCAGCTCTCCGCTGTATGGATGAAATCCATCTTGACAAATGCGTTCAAACAACGAATGGAATAGACATGAAATAATATCTCACCTAATGCAAGTAGCTTTTCAATTGAGTAGGGCCAAACAAAATCGAACTAATCTGCTCAAGCTGGCGTGCACCTCAATGAAAAGTTTCCAAGTACATAAGTTACAGACAAAGACATATCGCTACAATCGCTGTAAGCATTCGGCATATAGGTTTATCATAGCCAACCAAGTCAATAGATCGATCTAGAAATGGCATTTAACGTTAGCTAAAGGGTCAGCTTTGTGTTGCTTGAGAATGTATACGCGCAAGCGTCGATCGCCAAGTATCTCAGGGACAACCTATTACAAAATGGTGCTGTGGTGTATTCGGGCCCGGGCCCGAGTATAGCAAGAGGTGTTGCAACGTGGCGGAAGTGGGGGTCGACAATTGTGACTCTAGATTATTTACGAAAGGTGTGCCCCGGAAATATCGCGCCGGCAAAGAGCACCTGCAACCTTACACGCATCTTCATTGACCCAGACCCACGACTTGAATCAACTATATCAACTAAATCAACCGATCTCTTAATTTGCGACCTGTTCTGTCAGGTTTCGCGTCTGCTAGCGGTGCTAAGAAAGCTATACTCAAGACTCATCCTTCTGGCGCCGCCACGAGCATATTTCAGCTCAGCTAGAATGAAGTCGGCGGACGGCACAAACTCAACAGTGGGTGGTGCAGCAACTGTGATATTGCCGGAGGTAGTCAGTGCTACTTTGAACGTGGAAGAATACGCTTCCACGCCACCCAAAGGGACAAGGACCGGATTCCCGAGAAGATACGGACAGTCACTGTCATACTGGTTGCAGCAAGTCCGATGCAGTCCGCTACTGAACCATCGCACGACTATAGATATACCGAGCGAGGTAGATACAGTCATCGTCGGGTCAGGGATCAGCGGGACTCTTGTGGCTAAACACCATCTTGCGACTTGGCCTTCGAAGAGCGTGGTCGTGCTTGAAGCTCGCGAATTCTGCTCTGGAGCCACAGGCCGTAATGCAGGCCATTGTAAACCGGACCAATGGCGACATTTTGCGAAGTTCGAGAAAGCCTTTGGACAAGAGCAAGCTGTCAAAATTATGGATAACGAGGCGGCTACATGGAAGAGATTGGTAGCATATGTGGAGGAGAATAAGGTGGATTGTGATCTGTGGGTCGGTGACACACTTGATGTACCCGTGGATGAAGAGGTCGCCAAAGCCCTAAAAGAGATGTTTGAGAGATACCAAAGAGCTGGCGGGAAGACAGACCATATCAAGGTCACAAACGATCCCAAAGAAGCGGCTAGATTATCAAAGATCAAATCTGCCAAAGCGTGCTACGCGTGGAAGGCGTCTACGTTGCAGCCCTGGAAGCTCACAGCACACATAATGCGAGACAATATCGAGAAGGGCACAAATCTGCAAACGCATACGATGGTAAAGACAGTTTCCAAGAGCGAGACCGGTTCACGAAAGTGGACTGTCCATACAGAACGTGGAGATATTGCATGCGACACAGTCGTCCATGCTACGAACGGGTACAGTGCCGCGCTAGAGCCTTCACTGCAAGGGATAATCACACCGAAACCACACATATGTGATCAATTTGTGCCCCCGCGCTCGCTGTGTGGCTCAGAAGCTCTGCAAAACTCGTACGGCGTGCTGCTACCCAACGGAGGTTTCTTTAGTATCAACTCGCGCTGTACTTCAGACGGCAACATCATGTTTGGTGGTTCAAATCCAGGGCAAAAAAAGCTGGACGAATGGGCTAAGCAAAGCTCTGAGCGTTGCGTCGACGATAGCCTTGCGAATCTCGAATCGGTTACGAAAGAGGCACGATCGTTCGTTGAAAGCGAGTTGCTCAGTGAAGAAAAGGCTGAATACGGGCCCGGGGAAGGCTTTCAGTATAGCTGGAGTGGTATCATCGGTTTGAGCGCTGATGGCGTGCCGTTTGTTGGTGAGCTGCCAGGCAAGCCAGGACAGTGGATATGTGCTGGACATCATGGACAGTGAGTCAATTATTACCTGATGCGGTGTGACGGTGCTGACAGCAAACAGTGGTATGGCACGTATCTTCACTGCAGCGCCTGGATTAGTCAAACTGATGCATGGAGATCCATGGAGTTCGACTGAACTACCGGATGTGTATCAGATGACACCAGAACGTCTGGCTAAGCTAAAGAGTTCGGAGGAGAACACACCTCAGGTTGCGGTTATTTGAAGCTAGCCGTTTTACCCAATTCACATTCTCTGTCCCAATGAAAAGATGTACAAACGAACGCCAGAGTGTAAAATCAGAAGGAGCAGTATGCCTCGGGCAAGAGCTGTGAACTACTGGTACCAGTACAATAGTTGTGGTCGGGCATGACTCGCGCATCATCCGCACCTTCTGTCCTCAATGCCTTACGTACCTTTCAAAATCTCGTGTCTGTTGAACCAGATGCAATAACATTATTTTTCTATTTACCAGAACATTCCTTGCCTATGGTGGAGCCTTCCATCATTTCGCCTTCCGTATGAACTTGCCACTGACCGCCAACTACCCGTCGCCTCCGATCTAGCACGGTACCATCGCGTAAGAGGAGGAAAAATCAGTACACACAGAACCGTGGAACTGCCGCGGTCATCGACAGATGCGCGTCTACATGCCTGTCGTGGCAGCTAGTTAGATTGCAACGGCGGCGCTACGGGTGCGAAATCTGGTAGCGACGTGGTTCTGTTGACGATTCGTGGAAGGGATTTTGACGTGCGCAAGGACTGCGGGTAAGCTGATCACATAGGAACGGCTGCTTCATCCTTCGTGGTGCGATGGTTTAATATCGTCAACTTTAGGATTCCTCCTTCTGAGAGCCTTTCGATTTGCTATGGGTGTCAGTATGCCGCATGCTTGTTTTGTGTCTTCAAGGGAAACAAGTATGGGGCCCTACTAGACTTGGTTGCAATCAGTTAAAATGCTTGTCTGCCCTCTTCTCGAACAGATCCATCCATCCAAGCCGTCATTCGGCACATTTTGGCATTGCCCGAATGTTATTTGCATGGTGTCGAGTCAGGATCTGGGACCTGAAAATAGTCTGCTGGTATTTTTAGGCTCGAGGCGAGACACATTTGACTAACGCATGCGGCAACGAAAATCAAAAACTGATAGACCACAAGGGTGTTAATAAGAAGAGATGAATTTCAATTGTATATCTATCGACTTTCTCTGTGTTACTCGGAATGACCTCGATGGCTGACAGTCTGGCTGATGCTGCCCTGTTTAGACTATTCTAGGTGATCCAATGAACACATGTGACGCGAGTCTCTTTTCCTACTTTTGCTTACCCTTTACTATATACCTATTGTAGCTGTTCGACCACATCTCATGCTCTGCGTCCAAGAACTCAGGCATCGGCACCAAACTCCTCCATTTGTTCATCTCTGGCTTTACGATGAATTTTGCACCAAGGCTTTTCATCTTCACTTGCTCATGCCTCGATTCTCGCGGATTATATGTGGTAAAGAGCGCAGGGACATTGCTTTCGACAACGAGTCGAATTGTTTTGTCCCAGTCCGAATCTGCATCGTCACCATCGACACAGCCGCTGTTGAAGGCTACGATCAAATCTGGCTTTTCGTAGAAGGACGATTTTGCGAAGACGTGGTAAAGACCTTTGTACGCAGAGAGAGGCCGCTTTCGCCCTTGTGATTGGCATGCTTCGCAGCATGGGAGGTCGACCTTTGGCGCGTAACCTTCGGGGCCTTGACCAAACAGCTGCGAAGATGGTCCAACTGCGGCGATGTCCAAGATATTGAGACTTGGAATGAGGTGAAAAAGTTCCTCAAAGGCAGACATTGCCAGAAATTCACGTCCAGTTGCGCCTAATAAATGGACCTTCAGGACAGGCGTAGCTACCAATTGTAGGTCTTCGAGCGCCGCAGCTACGGTGAGCGGCATGGTCAGAGTATCTGTTCCTAGTAAAAGGAACATGCGTCTACTCTCTTCAAATTCCTGTTTATCTGCGCCTTGTTTGACAGCCGAAGGTGTGATGCCGCTAAAGTCAGGCTCTATATGGCCTTTGATAAAGGCTTTATCCGAAACGTTGACGAAGTAGTCATACCACCCATCGCACTGTGCCAAAGGTTTGAAGGCTGAACGTGGCGTGGCGGTACAGGCTATAACAGAAGCTTTTCCGGTATCTTCGAAATATCGATGTCGAAACTGCTCGATCTTGTTCTGGGTCTGGAAGCTGGCGCATACAGTCTTCGAATGGGGGCTGAAACATTCGGAGCAATGATGCAAAAGATGGCAGTCAATGCATGCTTTCAGGGCAATGCCTTTGCTCATCAGTTGGTTACCACTGCGAAAGCATTTAGAGCAATATGGCTGAGCTCTGATGGCATATTAGTCTACAGCCTTTAGGTGTGAGTGCTTCTGAGCTCAACGAACTGGATGATGAAGACCGTCTCTCTCAGTTCCGTCAATTCTTGAACAAGGTGTCCATATTTAATCTGTATGTATCTTTTAGTTCATGGGCTCGCCAGGCTGTGAGAGTGTAATTACCAGACAGCGACTATAGTCCGCCCATTTTCGCGACTCGCAGTAGTCCTTCAGATCTTCCTCATTGATGCGTTGCAATATCTTGCATTGCTTCTTGTGTACTGCTGTCCAGTCTAGTTTCTGACACTCTTTCGAACAGTATCCTGCGCGTCTACATCCTGCGCACTTCAATATGTTTTCAGAAGGTTCAAAACACCGGAAACACAATATGCCGCGCACAGCTCCAAGAGGCAGCGAGGGCACATCAGAGCCGCCTGATGCGAGAATGCGTTCTCTCTGCTTACATTTTGTTGGCATCTCCTCCCAAAACATGCACATATGCAAGTTTGACTTGTTGAAAATTGTAGAGATGCTGGTGGAGTGACCAAGGAGAATTTCAGAGGTTGATAAGGAAGGCCCACAGTTCCCCGCTAACTTCCAACTTAGCGTCAGTGGCTGTGTCGCAGCTGCGGGTGGAAAGCCGACGACCACATCACAACATTTCTCTGCTTTTCTTCCTCCGTTCGTATCGCCTTGCCGTAAAAGTTTGTCCGGTCAAGATGATCGACCTCTATGCGAATGTGCGCCAAGTGCTGGACATCCTCCTTCCGAAAATTAGGAGTCAACGCGAGCAGTCGTCAAGACCCATCATAATTGGTATCAGTGGTCTTCAAGGATCCGGGAAGTCAACATGGGCATCGAGAATCGTGGATATGCTTGAAATACAGCAGGAACTCAAAACTATCACAATCTCGTTGGATGACGTGTACAAAAAGCACGACGATTTGATCGCACAGCGGGACCAGGATCCCGAGAACAAATTGTATCGAACGAGGGGCCAGCCTGGTACGCACGAAGAACAATTGGCCGCAGATTTCTTCCGCGAGCTTCGAAATTATGACGGCAAAGGCGAGCTGAAAATTCCAAGCTTCGACAAGAGCAGGTTCAATGGGGAAGGTGATCGAGCTCCGGAGTCAGATTGGCCAACTATCTCGCAAAAGCCCGACGTCGTAGTGTTCGAAGGTTGGTGCGTTGGCTTTCAACCTTTGACTGATGCTGTGATCGAGGAGAAATACAAGCTGGCTCAAGAAGGAAAATTGCCAATCAACACCCCGGCGCAACACCAGCTCAAACACTTGCTAGAGGTTAACAATAACCTCAAGCGCTACTGCAACACGTTTATGGGACCACAACACTTTGACTTCTTCATTCACATCGACACCACAGATTTGAGAAATGTTTACAACTGGCGATTACAGCAAGAACACAAGATGATCGAGACAAAAGGCTCTGGCATGTCGGACGAGCAAGTTCGCACTTTCATTGATGGATACATGCCGAGTTACGAAATTTATCTCGACAAGCTGCGCGAAGGCCTGTTTCCCGAGAAGGGCCGGATGGTCAGGGTCGAGCTGGACAAGGACCGCCGAATCGAGAACATTGAAGAGCTTTGAGGACCTGTAGCTTACGCTTGCAGTGTGCTCGTGGCGTCTAGTGACCTGTACCATGAACAAATGATTATATTTGGCACTGCACCACTTACGTGCTTCTCCAGCGTGCGCGAGTACAAAGCATCATGATAAGAAAGCTGCTTCTCAACATTTTCTCTCCGCCCAAAACTTCAGAAATCTACCCACAGTCCTCTCCTCCCACAGATGCGCCTCCCTAATATAATCTGGCTCGGCAGTAACATTTTTGATCCCATAACTATCCCAATGATGTCCACCACTCGCAATCAGATAGCTCGGGTACTTGTCACTACTGATCCTCGGCTTGGGCGCAAGATTTGAGTGATAGCACAAATCCAGCCAAACATCCGTGCTTCCGTCGATCAAGGCAAGGTTGGGCGCTTGTATATTCCACCCACCGTACTTATTGTAATAGTCTAGCTCTGGGCTAGCAGGTATTCTGTTGTGCTGACCAGCGGGGAAGGCCCATGTGCACCATTGTTGCGTGTAAGAATTGGTCACGACTCGAGAGAGGAGTGAAGGTCCGGCTTCGGGGGCAGTCTGGTAGCCACCAGATTCCAAGCATGTAGAGTAGAGATATGATCGAGCTGCGCCATTTGCAATGTCGGCGTAGTAGGTCTGATTTTGTGTTCCGAAGCAGCCTTCATCTGTACTGTCGATTCTGCCGCTCTCGCAGTTTGGTAAAAGTGTCTTCTTGATGTAGTCTGCGTATCCACCCAGACCTAGCCCAAGCTTCACCACTAGAGTACTTTGTCAACGCAGTATCGACACTGCTGACATTATTTGGTGGATTGAGATTCGTGACGTTTGAGCAGAAGTGCCAAAAGTCCTGTGAGCCGTACTGTGGATTCCAATTTAGCTCTTGCCACGTATTCGTTGGATAGTTCATTGGGCCACCTATCGGAAATGCGATGGTCATGGCAAAGTCGCGTAAGTCTTCTAAGGCACCGAGTCCGAAGACCTCTTTTAGTTGCTGGATACCTTCCGTGCTGTTCGATGAGATGAGTGCATCAATCTTGTCAATGATATTCACGATCCTGGAGATACAATCTGCCGGGCCATACTGGATTATGGGCGAATACCATTGGGGATAGTTCAGTAGAGCTTGCGTCGTGGCGCTGCTGCCGATTCCGCCAGCGAATATCGAGTTGTATGTCTTCATAGTGAACGCAGTGTGTGCGCCGGCGAGCGAACCACCGTACATGATCCAGGGTACATCAGGTCCGCTGAGGCTCTCATTGACCCCGGGGAAAGTTGCATGCTGTCTGAAATAGGCGTTGTCGGCGATGGCTGTCATACGTCAGGATGTGCCACAAATGTCAACGTTCGTGGTCCTCACTTTGCTCAGTCGTCAGGAACCTCAACTCATCAGTCGTACTGGTTTTGTAAGGATAGCTTTTGCCATAATAGCGATTCTCCAGGATGACACCAATCCCGTTGAACTTCTCCATCAAGATCTGGATGACTGCGATGATCAGTTCAAATAACCAAACTTGATGTGGAGTACTCACTCCCAGTTTGCAAGTTCGAAAATCGACTTTCCACGCTGGTCTCTCCTCCAATGTACAAGAAGACCGGACCTCCCGGCTTGTAGTATGAAGAGTCGAAAACATATCGCTGCTTGAAAGTATCATTCGTGTGTGGCACATAACGGTCGGACTCGGGAAAGTGGTCAATCTGTAGCCGTCTCAGCAACAACAAATGAACGATAACCACCTACGTACCGGCTGGTCAATGGTGTAGGAAGTATAAGCCGGTGTAGCAGCTCTCTTGTCCTGCCTCTGAATCGGAGATGGAGTCGACACCCCGAAGGCCAAAAAAGTGCAGAGCGATACGAGGACCTTCATCGTCAAATTCCGGAGCAGATAAGTACGACAGTTTAGACAATAGCTCGAACTTTATAGATTATGCTATCGATCTTGTGTCTACAAGAAGCTAGTGGTGCACGTGGAAGTCGCGTCATGCCCATCATTTCCTTAAACGTAAGACGACCCGCAGCGAGCTATACTCGGACAGGCAGGTAGATGCAAAGCTTGGAGGAGCTTGTCACTGCTTGGTATTTCCCTGCTCGTTGAAGACAATGCCACCGTATCTCACGTCAGCGCAGACAGCAGTAGCATGCTGTAGTATCATTGGCGCGCTACATCCCGCAGTCCATCCTTGGTATTTCCCTGCTCGTTGAAGACAATGCCACCGTATCTCACGTCAGCGCAGACAGCAGTAGCATGCTGTAGTATCATTGGCGCGCTACATCCCGCAGTCCATCCTTGTCGCGAAAAGGTCCCATCACAGTCTCTTGTCCTTCACCCACAGCAGTACCCGAAGGTACTCAAGTGCACCTTACTCTTTAAGAAGCAGCTCTAGTTGATGCCGCCACTTCTTGTCAAGCAGGTCCGACTTACTCTCAGCAGAGCGCTGACAATGCTGCTTGTAGACCTGCATATCGTCGTCGGCGGGGATGTAGCGCGGGATGAAGTCATTTGGCGTATTATAGCTGGAGTTGTCGTTAAAGCCAATAGCGCTTGAGCCCGTGAAGTTGATGTTGCTGCCTGCCGGGTTTTCCCAGAGGTTGTTGACTTCAAATTTGAAGCGAGGGTCGGTGAAGAAGATAGGGTCGTTGGAGGAGTTTGTGAGAGGGGATGTGGGAGGGGATGTGGGAGTTGGTGCCTTCGAGGATGGGAGCGCGTAGCATTGGGGCGGCATCGTCGTGGACAGTTGGTTCTTGCGGAATGAGGTGGTGCGGAGAGGAAGTGGAGGAGGTGGCATCTCATTTGCTGTCGGAGCTGTTTGCAGTGAGTCCAATGCACAAATAAGTCAATTCCAAGCAAACGCAAAATCACCTTCACCTCTCATCAACTCCCGAAGGAGGAAGACCAAGCCAGCATGACTGAACGCGACTGTGTCTATACCGATCACCAGCTGCTCGAGCTGCTCAAACCAGGCAGAAGCGTCCTGACGACGCTCTGCCGCGCGGGTGATTGCGGTGACGCACTCCTGATAGAGCACGTAACGCCCTTCGATAACACTGCGAATGTGTTGGAGAAGAAGGTCGAGGTTGTTGAACTTCTGCGAAGCTTTGGTGCGAGGAGCCATAGCGGTTGATGTGTTTTGAATTTGTGCTCTAGATAGCTCAAGAAGTGCTTGCTCAAATATTGAGGTGATTTAGAGCCGAGTTTGACATGCGGACGAGGTATTTCAGCATAGGCAGCTGCTTGAGCAACAATAAGAATCATTACTATTGTGATGCGGCACAATAGCCAGGCATTGACGGTGAGTGACGGTTTCGACAACAGGTCGGGCTAGGGACGAAGTGAAGCACGAAACTATTATCATATACGGAAATACGTGATGCGTCATTAAACCGCAACTTGGCTATTCTGTCGATCGCTGAGGTTGTGAAGGTGGCTGAAAACTGGCCTAGGGCCTGATGTAAGATAGCTACAACTGCGCTACAACTTTCCGGATGGTCTCTTCCAGGTCGTCTTCCTTCAGCTCTAGCAGTGAATTGGCGAAGCCTTCCTTCTCCTTCCAGTCCGAGGCGACAACTCCCCACACTGCTACGACTTCTTCTCTTGCCTCGCCATCGCCATCGAGCATCTTTGGGCGCACTACCTGGAGCTCCTCCTCACTATTTTGAGCAATCCTCTCAAACCTGTTGCCCGTGACCTTTTCTAGCACATCAAGAACCTCAAGTTGCGTGACGTGATTGCTGTGAACATAAAGTAGCTTATTTTCCGTCTCTTTCGGCTTCTCCAATATCTTGAGGACAGCCTTTCCAATGAAGTCTAGATTCGACGCTGAGAACTTGATGTTACCGCCGTCGAGAACATACGCCTTGCGCGCTCGAACATCGAACTTCAACAAGCCGCCAGTCAGACCATAGTCGAAGAAATGTCCCGTGACCAAGCTCGTCCACGTCAGCTTCTCTGCACCCTCACGCTCTTTCTCCTGCATCCGCATCAGGTAATCACGCACGTCTTTCTTTCCCTTCATCAACGGCAGAATCTCGTTTGTCTTCTCGTCCGCCGAATCGCAACTCCCAAACTCTGCGGGCATAATTCGCTTCACGCCGCCCTTGAACGCGGCATCGATGAGCTTCTTCTGTGACTCCACATGGCTACCGGCAATGGTGATGATCAAGGCGTCAATCTTTTTCTCTTGGAGGGCCTGTGCGACTTCGTCGACGTTGAGGTCATCGGGTACGGTGATGACTTGGGTGCGTGGATAGACCGATTTAGAACCAAGGCGATTGACGACGAAGACGTTGAATTCGGAGGCTTTGAGCGCTTTGAGAACGGGCGCGCCTAGGGTACCGGTACCGCCGATCAGTGCGACGTTGGTTATGCTCATGATTATGCAGTTCTGATAGTTTTGATGGAGTCGTGCTGCTGCACCCGGAGTCATTTATGTGAAGTGCTCCCGACGTAGTCCTGCCTAGCCAAACATAGACGGAACTAGTGGAGTCACTGCGGTATGACGCAGCATGCCCATTGGCGCTGCGAGCAACACCGACTTGACTGACATTTCATTCTCGACAAGTCTCGATGCGTGGTCATGGTGATGGTGACCAGGAGCTCATTTGCGGCAAGGCTTACTTGCACCAGTGGCACAGCTGCGACATGCCAAATACATGGAATTTGGGCCCCACGAACCTTGTGCGGGGCAAGTCATGAACACGAGTCTCATCGGGGCGCCTCACAAGACCTTACATGTTCGAAATACAAATCCTTCTGTTCGATACACAGATTCCTCGTTGCTTGAATAGATTTTACGTCCGGCGAGACGCTTTAGCGCTCATGTCTCGCGATTTTTTGCGAACTGCATCGTGTTTAGTAATCAGAGATTTTGATGCGATCCTGACAACGGTCCTTCTTTCGATCAAACATAGGGAGATATAGCCAGATCCCTGCGGCTCATAGGAGTCTTACCACCATTTCACTTGCGAGTTTGTGCGATATTAGGCACAGACCTTCCCATGAGACTGTCTGGTGGTTCGACCTCTAGGGTCACGCCATTGGATCTTACGACCCTCCACACCACCACAACGCGCGACCCTTTCTCGATGAAACCTGCGATTCGCGGTAGCATATATCTAGATAGCAGACGCTGACTGAAAAATCCTACCATTCACTATACTCTGTTCAAGACAAGAATTAAATAATACCATATACATATATCCATCTTGGGAGTCACATCAAGCTGCTCGTCAAACACACTACACCAATCAGATCACACACGTCGAGATAGTAGCCATGAATGGTCGCCCAATGCACCACGTCGATCGCAAAGACCTCTACATAGATTTAGAGTCACGTATAGAATATCTACACTCCTTCCTCGACTTCAGTTCTCGTACGCTTATTCGCTAGGCCGTTTTGAACCCTGTCAATACTGACATGATTCTGTAGGCGACATCGAGGCTCTGACCCACGGCGCAAAATACATACAAGCGCTGATACCCGCGGTCGTAAATATTGTCTACAAAAAGCTTCTGCAATACGACATAACGGCTCGTGCCTTCACCACTCATACAACAGCATCGTCGCTCCCCATACCGGACTCATTGTCGGAATCTGCACCCATCATCCAGCATCGCAAGCTCTTCCTACGCGCGTACCTCACGAAACTCTGCAGCGACCCCACCCAATTGGAATTCTGGAGTTACTTGGATAGTGTGGGCAAGATGCACAACACACAAGCGCTGCGCGTGGAATATATACATATTGGTGCGACGCTGAGTTTCATCCAAGATGTGTTGACGGAGGCAATACTAGAGCATCCTAGAATGAGCATGCAAAGGAAAGTGGGGCTTGTCAAGGCGCTGAGCAAGGTTATCTGGATACAGAATGATCTGTTCGCGAAATGGTATGTGAGGGATGGGGAAGAGTTCGAGGATGAAGATGTGTTGGTGCCAGAAGTGAGGGAGGGAGAAGGATGCCCGTTCAAGGCAATGGGGATGGAAGACATGAAGTCGCCGTTGAGGCATGACTTGCAGGTAGATGAGAGAGATGGTAATGCCGTGGGCGTCCGGACAAAATTACCAGCATGACAAAGCCGATTGTAAGCAGCAAGTTGTTGACATTGGGAACAGCTACCAGACAAAGAAATGGTACAGTGTATAATTTGATTGAATTTGCAAGTCTGCGGGCATGGTGCATTTAGGCGTTGCATTAGTTTGGCTTAGTCTACCATGAACATCAGAAGCAGTGAACCAAAGGCATCTTGCAAGCAAGTTAGCGCGTTCATAAGAGGACAGAGTGAGGCGCGAAAACAAAGCCGTGGTTGCGCGTAGTGAATGGCGAATGGCGAATGGCGAATGGCGAATGGCGAATGGCGAATGGCGAATGGCGAATGGCGAATGGCGAATGGCGAATGGCGAAAAGCGGATGCGGCGGACTAATTGTGAATTATCATGTGCATACAGTCCCGGGTCCCGGGTGCAGGTAAGTACCTTGAGGATGAGTAACTTGGCTCTGGTAGCGCGGAGTTTTCACCGGAAGCTCAGACGCTGGCTGTGGGAAGACTCGGGACCGCGGAAGGGCAACCGCAGCCGGACTCTAGCGTCGAGATGTCGTGTGGCAAGAGCGATGTCGGCCGCGACTTCCTCATCGGCTGTTGTGTTGTTCATCGACGTGCAGACAGTTCAGGAGGTCGGATGCAGTTGTTTGTCGTCTCAAGGAGGTTCACGTCACATGACATTGTCGCAAGACGCCAATTGCATCGACGGATCAGCAGCATGGTGTTGAGGAGACACAGGTTTCAGTGGCTTGCGGAAGCGAGGCGAGTGGGTGGATCGGGGCGTTGTGGCCGCTTGGCGCGACCGCAACCATCTTGATAAACCTTGGAAATCTGCGCAAGGCGGCGACGCGGCTCGATGAAGACTGAAGACGATGGCGACGCTTGACAGATGCGGCCCAATCGACAAGCGTCACGCACACATGGTGCAAAATACACGGCGAGATGACAGAAAAAGCAGAGGCACGGCGCATCTGATAACGATACACGTCCCGTTGGTGTCGCGAATGTCGCCGCGGGGTCCCGGCATGACATAACGCTCTGAGACGGTTTGACTCGTCCAACGTTTGCTGGCACCAGCGCAAGCGATTTAGCCCATGCGCCCAGCACCAAGGGGACCCAGTATGATGTCGAGATACGCCGTAGCAAACCTTCTCAGCTCTATCGCCTGCAGCCCAACGCGCGCGCCCCAACTGCGACGATGCAAACGGCGCTCCTCGATCACGAGCCAAAATTGACGGGCTGTGATAACCGCTCATGATGTATTACTTTGCCGTGCCAACAAATTCCACGGCTTTTCGAGAATGAGACATTTCCTCAACGTGCCAATCAGGGGAAGGGTACCCCGGTCGTCGCTGCCCAGTCTGGCCTAGCCCCGTCTTAGCGGCCTGCACGCCGTGGAACTCCAGGAAGAAGGAGCCCCCCAACCTCAAGCTCCCGACGTCCTCGTCTTCACAACACATCACCACCATCCGCCTATCCACCCTCTTCCCCCCTTCTTCGCCCACAACACCCATTGAACGGCCGTTTGTAGCTCTGCACAGCTGCAACACGCACGTTTCTTGCAGGCTCCCCTTTATTCACCGGCTCTTCGCCCTGGTGCAGCTGTTCTCCCTGCGTCCACTGTGCTCGGCAGATCTTCGCAACACCTTGCAGCTGCCTACCCACCACCACGTCACCACCACAACGGCTTAACTGCTTGTTGTTCCCCTTCTTCCACTCCCTCGTGTACACTTAATATACCCAACTGCTTGTAATTTTTTCGCGTCTTCGCTTCATTTTCCATTTGCGCGCCCTGTCTGCCGCTGCCGCCACTGTTGCGACGTCATTCTGCAGCCTTCTAGCTCCCCGGACTTTGATGCCCGCGACACTCGCCACGATAGATGACTGCTGCCTTTTCTAGGCAACAACTTCCACTTCTCTCACAATGCAGTCCATGTTCCGCCTTCCATGGAGCACCGAGTCGCCTGGCGACAAGATCATGGAAAAATCAACATTGCACAAGTCGAGGCCCATGCCCGTCGTCGAAATGCCAAATTTCATGAACAAGATCAAGCGGAAAAGGACTGACAGTCCTGAACCGGCATCGGTGCAGCAAGCCCATGTAGTGAAGAAGTGGAAGGGAGCGCAAGGCGAGTCGAAGCCAGCAGTGGTTGCGAATGGAGGTGCCAACTCGATGGATGGAGTAGTTTCAGAGTCTGTAAAGTTTGCGACTGCACAAGTCGCGCCCAAGTTCTCTGCTGCGGAAGCGGTGGACTCGCGATCCAAGCCGTCCAGGAAAGAAGACCCAAGCAAGAGCAAAGCTGCCAAGGTACAAATCTCAGCTGCCAAATCTGAGTCTGTCAACACACCTACCATCACTATGAACACTGGACTTTCTCCCGCGCAACAAGCCATCGAGGCACAAATCGACATGGAGATTCTGCTCAAGCACAACGAGCTCCGTTTGATCGAACAGGAGCTTGCCAAATGCCAAGTCGCTCTTGAGCAGCTGAGGCGGTGTTCGCTGATTCCGTATCCTGGCACTGAGGCGCTTTCCGAGCAGCTCAGCCTGGGAGTTGGTGCGTCTTTGCAGCCTCCTTCTGGCTTCACGACACCTCAGTACGCGGCGCCATGGGGAGTCACCGACGGGCCCTACACCCGTCACTACTCAAAGTGGCTGATATCAGACGCCAAATTTGATCCCGTTTCGGAGCGTGCTCTTGCACAGCAGGCTCATGGTTACTTTGGCGCCGGTGAGGGCAGGACGACGCGCGGCAGCTTCGGGGACTACGGTTCTGCGAACAGAGGCCGCACGTCACGGACTTCGACTGGAATGTTGAAGATTCCGGCCCTTGGTGAAACTCCAGCACCTGCGCCAAAAATTGATCCTCTGCTGCACAAGCGATCCACCGACGGACAATGGGTCCGCCTCTACTGCGCATCCTGCCAACACAGCAACTTCTCAAACACGCAGGGCTTCCTCAACCACTGTCGCATCAAGCACGGCCAAATTTTCAAGAGCCACGACCAGGCAGCCATTGCTTGTGGTGTTCTAGTCGACGTCAACGAAACTGGCAATCCAGTAACAGCGACTGAACCGGCGAGCACACCAGCAGCCACACCTGCAGTCGCCTTCCCAGTTGCAACAACTCCCGGCATTGTTCACCCGTTGGCAACGTCAGCAGTTCCCGCTGCGCAGGCAAAGGACGTGCATCGCGACCCCACCGCAACACCACGTGACGACTCGAAGGTGTCCCCCGAGACCTTCAAGAACTCCAACGTGCCGTCTTATCTGCAAGCTCAGCTACTGAACTCTGGCTTCACTGGTGATTTCAAATCACTAGTTGAGACTGCACGAGCAAAGGTTGACCTCGACGCTCTAGAAACATCAGATGACGACTTCGCCGACTCCACTGCTCTACCGACACCGACAGCAACTCAACCGCCTCAATTCGCTCGTCTGCCTGCGAACGGTGCCCCCTCTACATCCGGTAGCAAGGTACCATCCGCACGACCAGGCAGCAAGAAGAGTAGTGCGCAAAGTCAGGCACGCCTTCCACTGTCTTTCCCGTCTCCCATCAGTTCCGAAAATGGCCACGACCTGCTCGACTCACCGGTAGATCTCAGTCCGCACACAGCTGAGTCAAACCCTGGTCTGGTTAGTGACCACGACGACGATGACGACGAAGACGTGGATGACGCCCGCAGTCAGCCTGACATCCTCATGAACGATGACGTTGTTGTCGAGGACGGTAGTGACGTTGAACATGCTCATGAGCGTGCAAAATCTCGACAAGGCCTTCACGGTTGTTTCGAAAAAGGCGAGGCAAGTCGCAAGCACTAGACTTTGAGGGCCAGTTCATTCGGGCTGTCATTGTATCGTTTTGCTGAGACCGTTATGGATATGTTTGTTCCGTGTGTGCGTCTTCATCCTTCTTGTGTCATAGATTCCGCGCGCTCTCTCTTTTCTTCTCTTCAGTTTCCTCGACACGACCCGAGGGCATACACGGTACCAGCAATGGACTTGGGTAGTTCTGGTTCAACCCACTGCTGGCACTTTCTTATTTATCTCTATCCAACCACAAAACGCTGCAGAAATCTCATCTCTTACGTTACGGTGCGCCTCAACGAAAGTCAAGGCGCTGGAAACGTCTGTGTATCATCATCTACTTGTACGGAATCTTGGGGGATAACTTAGACTGGGTTGGGAATTAGGTGCTGGTACACTTTTGTATTGTACTAATGCACTTTTCTTACACTTGGTGGTTTGGGCGGTTATGGGAAGACTGGCAACTGGGTGTTGGCGATGCAGAGTTAGTCTTGAGTTGTATATACCTTTAATGTTACGATGAAAGATGTCCCATTTCGAATAAACTTGTGCAAGATGAGTTGATGTGTATGGACGGTACAAGTGCTTGTGACAACTATCCTCCAAACGACTCTCGAATATACAAAGTGCACCACGGCTAGCATCGAAGGGCCGACGCCAATGGTGAGGATAACATCGTTTCTTCGTTGTACGGCAAGGCTTTCAAGCTGCCATTTGTCACTCTGAATACAGACTCCATAACGCCTCGCCTAATGCTTGATGTTCGCTCTGTTCCTCGCCTCCAGCGTTCTTCCAAGCGGTGCGGTTGCGAACCATCGTTAACTCCATACCACGCCGGTTCGGTATTCATCCCCAGAGTTCGAGGCCCTGCCCATAGCACGTTAGTATACAGCCTCAAGACACCATTCCCGTTGTCCCTCGTCCACAATGGACATGTACTTACAGCCATAACAACACACGCCACGGCGACATACGGGCTCAGGCGCTCGCCCACACGCGCAGCCTTCCAGACTGGACTGACGAACGGATTTGCCTTATTTCTGTCCATTATCCCGGGAAAGACGTAATGTGCGTAGGTCGAGGTGCAGATTGTGAGGAGGATGACGAGGAGGAGGGAGTGGAAGTTGAAGAGGGCTGTCATGGTCGCGTCGTGTACCGGAGGGAGTGTGGAGAGATTCGATGGCTCTGAGCCTTGGAGGCGACAGGTGCGTGAAGTACGTGAAGTGAATATGGGAGCCTGGAGAATGTTTTCGGGCCAGATGTTCGTAGTCGCGATGCGGTCCGGTGGGGAATGTTTCTGTCTGTGCGCATGGGAGATCGTCATTGCATGTGCGCGCCGTGCGTCGCGACTTTGATTCCCTTTGACAGCAACCGCATCATTCACCTTGTGCCTACCAAGTTGAGGAGCACTAAAGCCTCTACAGACCACCGAAGCCGATCCTGATAAGAAAATACATACGACGTGACAGATCGAGGCGCGAGTGAGAGCACCAGAGCAGCTCGCAAGATGACAGAGGTGCGCATGCGACTGCGCCAAAAGGGCCAGCAGTTTCCCACACAAGACTGTAAGTGAGCTGATGTGTATCTTCACTGCGAGCACTTCATACGCCCGTTTGTATTGTCTACGCCTGCCTATCAGCACCCCTCAACATGTACATATCGCACACCAGCCCAAACTATCCCACCCCCCCTCTCTTTACATTCCCCTCGCGACTTCGACCTCCCCTATCACTGCAGACCACAATGTCTAAGCGGAAAGATCGCATCCAGCCCCGCATCCCTCCCAGCTCAGTAGTAACACCCACCCAAGTAGAAGCCTTCCTCCTCGCCTTTGGCGACAACGACTACCCGCTCCCCGAAACCGTGCGCGTCCTCGACGAAATTATCACCGACTACATCATCGAGACATGCCACGAAGCCGCATCTGTCGCCCATCATGCTAGGCGCGCGAAAATCAAGCTCGACGACTTCAAGTTCATGCTGAGGCGCGATACGGTCAAGTTGGGCAGGGTGAGCGACATGCTCGAGACGGACAAGGAGCTCAAGAGGAAGAGGAAGGCGTTCGACACGGATGAGGGGGCTGTTTTGGGCAAGGGAGACAAGGAAGATGGTGGCGAGGAGGGCAAGGGCGGGGCTGCAGAGAAGGCCTCGAAGAAGAAGAAAGTCGATGAGGCCGATGGTGGGGAGAAGAAGAAACGAAAGAAGAAGAAGGATGCTGGTGGAGGAGACGATGCGAGCACGGTCATGAGTGCATGAACTGTGACGGGCCAGTGATTCGAGCACAGGAGCGTGTCTGGTCTAACGCATGCTCGGATTTTTGATCTTGAGGTATAAGCATTACTGGGCGTTATTATGGGTTAGCATGCATCGGCGTTTGAGAACTCGGGAGCGTATTACAGCAGTTCTCCCGACGTTAATTACTGGGCTCGACCCTTTCAACCTCAAGAACAGGATAGCGTCAAGTCAAGTTTGGAAATATTTGAATTCCTGCTCCTCTTGAAGCTGGGTCTAATGCATGCAATATTGGGCCTGCTATGGTAATACAGGGCCTCACAGATGTCCGGTAACGCCAGGCTCATGAGTAAATCATACCTCATGATCATGGCCCTTTTTTCAGCGCCCCACTTCTTGCCGAATCACTCACTACAACGCTGCCCTTCCCCGGACGCGGCGTCTTTGATCGCATTTGCGCTGCGTCTCGTTCTCGTTCTCGACGCGGACCCCGGACTTGAGAAACATGCAACTTTATTCGGGCGACGCTCATGCCTCTTGCGTCCTCTGCTGCCTACCCTTGTTCCTCCGGTCACCGCCCTGTTTCCTGTCACCTCCGTCTTTTTGTCCGTCACCAGCAAGAGCATCAGTGCCGCCCATGGTAAGAGCAGCGGTTGCGAGACGGTTGGAGAGGTCGATCTGTGTGCGGATGGTGTTGGCGAGGTAGGAAACAACGAGGACGTCTTGGATGTGGTTGTTGCTGTAATCGTCAGTAAGTGGTCAGTCGTGTCGGGAATCCAACATACAAGTCACGCTCAATGTCAGCCGGGTCGACCTTGGGTGCCAGGCTAAGGGCGTTCATCAAGAACTGTCCGAGCGCCGACGATGGCTCTGCCTCCTCGTCGAGCACGTTGTTGACATAGTTGGAGACGCGCTCCAACATGTCCAGAACGTGCTGGACAGCGCGCTCCAACGAGTCGAGGTCAGTCATGATCTCCTGTGACCTGTCCTCGCGATCCTTTGCCGATGAAATAAGCTCCAGTCCGGACTTCTCGGCCTCGCCATACTTGATCTCGTGGGGTACTGGGATGAACAAGCACGAGTCGGCCGCACGCTCAGCAGTCACGCCAATTGGCGCCGAGATGTATGTCCGCGACTCAATGTCCTGGCCAGGCACTGTGGAAACGGTAAGATGTACAGCGGGGTGGGGCCAGGTCCCATCGCCCTGTTGGCTGTAGAAGTTCTGGATGAGGGCGGAAAAGGTGTTCAAGTCGCTGCTCGTCGCATACCAGCCGACCAGCACCTCCCTAGGATTTGCCCGCAGGTGGAGGGCGAGCATCTGCTTCTGGTAGTCCATGTCGACCTCGACCTGCTCGGCGGTTTCCGTGTGGGGGACGGCGTAGCAGTTGCGGATCTCGATTTCAGTGCCATCTTCGCTGCGGGTGCCGAGGAGAGTGCCAATGACACGTTCTTGGTCGGCGGGGCGGCGGAGTGAGTGGTCAAGTATTGAGAAGACGGCCTGGTCACGTTGTCAGCGCAATTCCAATTCCCATTCCCATTCCCATTCCCACTGTTGCTCTCGCATACGCGACGTACCTGGGGTTGTATGGCGACGTTCAGCGGGGCTGTCGAGGGTTGAGCACCGACGGGGGCTGGGCCAAGCGGGCGCGCCAGGTGGAGAAACGAGTCTCGCTCGGACATGGTGAAGCGGCGGCTATTCGAGCGATTGCGGGATTCCGAGTCGGATCGTGAGGCGACGGGGGGCTGTCGTGATGCAGTCGTTGGTGGGGTAGGGCGATGATATTGTTCGCGAAATCTGGGCAGGTGCGGTTCGCTAGCACGGGCCACCAAGATTTATTTTCTGGTGGGGACCGCGACTTTTACGTGCACCATCAGCATCGCGACTCGACCAGTAATTCCACCAGCTTACATGCGAAGGATTGGGTCTAGCCTCTGGAAGAAGAAAGTGTAGCTGTGAACGAACAGACACAAAAGAAGGGGGAAAAAAACAATGGCGCCAATGAGGGGACGAGGCGGTTTCCGTGCACGAGGACGGGGCGGAGCGAGAGGAGGAGGGAAGGGAAGAGGAAGAGGAAGAGGTGGACCACGTGGCGGCGCGAGAGGCGGATTTGCTGCGCCAAGGATGAGAGACGAGGTGGAAGATGCGTGAGTACGGAGCCGAATTGCGACACCAAGAGACGCGGTGCTGATGCGACGCAGAGCTTCCGACATGCAACACGCGCCCGAGCCTGGAGAAAGTCAGTCCGAAGACTCAGACGACTCTGTATCCGACAATGACGACGACGAAGAGGATGCGCAACCCACCTCAAATGCCTACGCTGCCCTGCTGCAGTCCCTTTCCACTGTCGCGAAGCAGAATGAGCATCAAGAGACACACCGGCGCAAGAAGCGCAAGCTGGCTGGGGAGGACCTTCAAGTTGCCGAAGAGCCACAGCAAAAGATAAACAGAAACATGTCCAATCTGACAGAAGACGAGCCTGACGCCGTGTTTGACGGCGACGCCTTGGACGAGGATCCACAGGAGGATGCTGCAAGCGACGACGGAGTACAAATAAGAGATGCAGTCGAGGAAACGCAGGACGGCTTTGAGAGCTTTGAGGTCCATTTTGCGAATCCAGACGAGAACGATCTAGCGATGCGGTTGCGGAGAATATCGGAAAATCAATGGTCGGCCAAGAAGCTGCATGCTGCTGGAGGGAGGGCACTGCTCCAAGTGCCCTGCGCAGATAACACAGCCTTCGACACGCGGAAGCTCAGGAGCACACGGGACGTGCAGCTGAAGGCACGACTCGCCGAGAACGCGCAGAAAGTAGTCGGTCAATTCAACGACGGTCACGAACAGGTCATCATGCCTTCCATCTTCGGATATCAAGACGTTTTGTTTGCAGCAAGGACCGTACACAATGCTGCGCGAATGCGCGACATCACCTGCTTGCACGCGCTCAACCACATCCTCATAGGCCGCGACCGAGTCTTGAAGAACAACGCAAAGCTCGCTGCCGCAAATGACGGCGATGATGTAGAGTATCGCGATCAGGGTTTCACGCGGCCAAAGGTTCTTTTTTTACTCGAGACCAAGCAAGCCTGCGTCCGCGTTGTAGACTCCATCACCAGACTCTTCACTTTTGAGCAACAAGAAAACAAGAAGCGCTTCCTTGACCAGTTTCACAGACCCGACCAGGCATTCTCCGACGATAAGCCCGCAGATTTCCGCGAGCTCTTCGAAGGCAACGATGAGAATGAGTTCCGTGTCGGCGTGAAGTTGACACGCAAAACGCTCAAGTTTTACTCCACCTTCTACAATTCGGATATCATCTTCGCCTCTCCCCTTGGTCTCCGCCGCGCCATCGAAACGGGTGACCCCAAAAAGCGAAGTGGCGACTACGACTTCTTGTCATCCATCGAGATGGTCATCATGGAACAAGCCGACGCAAACCTCATGCAGAACTGGGAGCACGCCGAGTTCGTCTTTGAGCACCTCAACCTCCAGCCCAAAGAATCTCACGGTTGTGACTTTTCCCGCGTCCGGCCGTGGTACCTCGACGACAACGCCAAGCATGTTCGACAAACCATTGTCATGTCTGCATTCCTGACACCAAAGATCAATACTCTATGGAACAAACACATGCGCAACTTCTTTGGTCGACTGAAGTACACCCCAGATTACTCCGCTGGTGTCATCGAGTCTCTCTCACACGGTATCAAAGGCATCAAACAGACTTTTTGGCGCTTTGAGTCACCATCTCACCTTACCGACCCAGATGCCCGCTTCAAGTATTTCAGCAGCACGATATTGCCTTCAATTCTACGTACCCCCAAGCCGGCGGAGGGTGGACCAGGAATCCTGATGTTTGTACCAAGTTATCTTGACTTCACACGGCTCCGCAACTCTCTCGTCGATGTCAACATTTCATATGCTTTGATCAGCGAGTATACAGACATGACCGACGTCAGAAAAGCCCGTTCGCATTTCATGAATGGCAAGCACTCACTGCTCTTATATAGTGGCCGCGCACACCATTTTCATCGCTTCAATATCCGCGGCGTGAAACGCGTTGTCTTCTACGGAGTTCCGGAGAATCCAATCTTCTATGAAGAGCTGGTTAGTATGGTGGGTAAGAGTGTAGAGAGGGGCGAAACGAGTAGAGCAGAGGCTAGTATAAGGGTCATGTTCAGTAAGTGGGAGAGGATGGAGTTGGAGAGGATTGTGGGCACGAAGAGGTTGAGCAGGATGGTGGGGGATAAGGGCGACGTCTTTGACTTCGTGTACTAGTCATATTTTAGATAATCTATCTTCGGATCTATGTTCAGAAATGCCAGCAAGTCAAGGGACTCTAGCATAATCGCTGTTTGGACGATTGTGATTGATTGCTTGGAGATCCGGGGTGGTTTGGCATCCCCGGTGTATGCACCAACTGCAGCAGCCCGAGTATCGTAATGATCGATAGCATGGTGGGCATCGGCTTGCACAGCATCAAACTCAAACAACATACCCCTGGAGCGAGCCAAAAACTCCTGCTCATACATATGTTCATTTACCTATCTGTCAGCTCGCCCCATAAACTTGGCCAATTCCCGGAACTCGATTTCTATGGATAAAGCGTCGGAGTGGTTGCAAAAGTGCTCGAGTGCTGCATTGTGCAAGCTCAACGAGACTGTGTGAGTAGTACTCCATGCATAAATGATTCTGAAGTGTAAATCATGGCACTCGAAGCAACCAATCACTTCTTCTTGCGGAAGTGGGGTGAAGAGGCGTCTCAAAGCTGTCAGGATGTTCAGTAACGTCAGTGTTTGCAACACTATTGTTGCAATTGAGTTGTGTAGGTTGAGTGTCTTCAGAGTCGGAAAAAGAACCACTGAACTCTGATAGTATCGGGGATAGTGTTCCCAGACCGTGCATGATCACTTTAACTGGTTGCAGAAGTAAATGCGCATGGAGTCTGTGTGATTCAGTTTCAGTTGCGTGGTGCTGGAGATTTACAGGGCAAGAACATTATGGTGGAAGATATACAGTTATCAGCATCGTGTGCAAACACTGTGTAGCAGCTATTTAATATACGGACAATGTTGGCTGGGGTCATCAGTACATCACGGCATTGCGCAAAGCTGCTTTTCATACATCGGGATGTGATGAGTGCTTGGAAGCATGTAATACTTGCCATTGACGTTCAAGCAACAGAGAAACGCCCTCACTTGCAGTTTCTGTGCTATTCGACGGGTTGACCACGATGATGAAGTGTCTCTAATTCTTTTGCAAAGATCCCGACGACCCAGGAATATTGGAAGTATGGAGATATTTTGCTCTTAGAGGCAGACAATACAGTCACTATCCTAGTTTAAACAAGACAGTTATCACACTCGCGCTTTCGGCGACTGAATCTCCTAGCACCAAGATCTCGTTCGTAGTACTGAATGTGTCAGCGTTATTTGATTCAGACATCAGCCAGAAATGTTCACGGACTACGCATAATGTTCCATGAAGGGTTTTCAATTTTGGTACTTGTTGGTTAAGTCGATCCTGTAGCATCAAATCCCACTCAAGAAGATCCAGTCATATTTACGAAACATTTCGAGGTTATGTTTCTGTTTCATTGATTCGCGAATTATTATCCGTAATTCGCGAACTTTTCGTCTGCTTATCTGGCTCCTGTAACTCCAACCATGTCTCTTAGTCACAAGTGTCTTCAGGACTTCCAGGTCTAGCAAGCTTAAAAGAGAGCCTTCAACCGAGCCCTGTCTTAAACTTTAGCCTGTTTCTTGACTCTTTATGTACCTACTTCACGAAAGCATACCGTTGTAGGCTATACATGCTGAACTCGTACCATCGGCTAGTGTGATCTGTTTCTAGTCACAGCCGCTGGAAAGAATTGCTTCACTGGGCCAAGAGATATGTTGCTGTGTTGCACTAACCACTGTACCGCGTGCCTTCCGTAGCTTGGCCCTTACACAATGGAATGCACATCCCAACACCGGGCATTATGCTACGCAAACTGCATAAAATGCAGATCACCGAATCTCCCCATGTTCTCTGCACTTGTCTCAAGTTTCGCGGGGTGTTTAAATCGTTATTAGAGTCTTGTTCCTGCTGAAGCATAATGACTGTGTGCCCAGTCATTACTACAACGAGAATGAGTAGTGTCATGGGTAATATTGACTAGCTATACGAACAGTCTATCGTGCGACTTGGAGCGGGGTTACCACGCCAGTTTGGACTGCTTCCGGTGAACCACAAGAGCTCATCACCGTATTTGCACCCGTATCGATATCACATTCGCCACGCGGGAAGGCTTTGCTGCAACACAATTTGCAAGAACTACCCCAATCAAGAGCTAGGGCTCGAGGTAGCGTACATACATAAGATGTGGTGACGTTAAGAAGGTTTCAGCATTCCACTCCGACTTCAACAATCGCGCAAGACGACCTTCACTTTTCGGCTCGAAGGCAACATCATCAAAGTCGCAAGCATCCATCGCTGTATCAAATCCTCCTCTATATACATTTCGTCATCATGCATTGCGCAGTCTTCTTACTCGCTGCTCTTGCGTCTCACGCAGCCGCTGTGGAAGTCACTTCGTACGCACTTCCAACCGCGAACCACTACTCATTCATAGAACTAATGCGATGACCTAGTACCACCTCTTCCGTGCCTGGCTCGTCTTCAACCGCCCTGTTGGTTGTTTCCTCATCAACGGATTTGTCTATCTCGCTTACCTTGACCGCCAGCCGAAGGACTGTCATCGCTGGGGGACAACCCGTGAGTTCTCAAACGAACGCAACGAGCTCGAAGGGTGCAGCTGCTACCATGAACACCGGACAGGCTGGCGGTGTTGCTGCCGTAGCGATTGGGGTTGTTGCTTGGTTAGTGTGAGAAGACGGACCAAAGCCAGAGGTTTAGTGCCGGAGCATGTCAGGTGGAGGAACAGACACATATGTACTTGTAATAAGGCTTGTTGCCATGAACTTCCTACCTGCAGCGCTTGAGAAATTCATGATCCCCTATCTGGTCTGATTAAAGACACGCACGTTGTCACACTATTTGGCGATGGGGCAATGTAAAGAAATCATGGGACATAAAGCTACAGAGGAACAAATTCATTCATTAATAGTGTCCAAGTATAGAATTCAAGGAGCAATCCCGCCCAGTGTATGCACTTGGAATAACAGAGTTTGCGGCCATCGATGCTTTACAAAATAGCAATTCTCCTGCTATGAACCTGAGCTCTGGGAACCGAGATCTTCAGTATCCCATCTTTGAATATAGCGCTAATATTAGCCACTTCGATACGCTCTGGAAAGCGGAATGTGCGCTCAAAGGACCCATGGACACGTTCCTCCCGGCAAGGATCTATCTGCTGGACCGGTGCCTCGGGTTGTCGCTGTGTAGCAACAGCGGTGTCGCCAATAGCGTTCTCCTTGGCCTGAGGTTCTGTGCTCTCAGAAGGTGATAAAGATCTTGGTGTGGAGACCAAAGAAGAGGTTTCGGCACCGAGGTCTTCGAAGTCGTCCTCAACAGTAGCCTGGTAAGATCGATGTGACTGGGTGTCGCTATCCGGTGTAGCGGCTCCAGTGTTAGCTGTCGGCGTTTTCATGGAGCTTTTGATTCCGGACTCAATGACTTCCGTATTTTCTTCATGATTCTTTTCGATGGAAAGTTCGTCGAAAGCTGGCGCAGCACTCGATGGGGATTGTTGTGGCCTTGATTCCAGGCTGCTTTCGACCTGTCCCTGGGTGTTTCCAGAAATTTTCAAGGTGTAGTCATCAGTCACCTCAATGTTGATGTTGTCTTGGTCGAAGCCCAGGATCTCGCCATCGATTTGCCACCCCTGCTCAGTCCGGTTGACGGCAAAATGAGCGCGTAGAGCGCGCTTACGTTGCTGTCTCGAGCGGTGTGCTTGACGTTGAGCCTCGCGTTGAGCCTCCATAATCTCGATCTTTTCCTGGTGTTGTGATTCGCGTTGAATCTCGCCGAGTAACTCATCGACCTGACTAAAGAAATGGTTGAAGGTTGAGTTCTGCAGGCGCTCCATGCGAGGACGAGCGACTCGGTAGTTGTGCGGATACCGCGATACTGGGGCGCAGAAACCGAAGGGGTTGCATTGCTGTGCCTGATAGGCTGGTGCGAAGCGTGGGGTGAGGACAAATGCCATCTCGGATGTCTCGCTGCTTGGTCGCACTTCAGATGGTGTATCGTCCAGGTGCTTAGCTCAAGTGTCAAGGAGTGGAGGCTTTGGTATATTCAATATAGCAGATATTTGTTGTCTTGAATCTCTGAATTGGATTGTATTCCTTGAAGGTGCTGCAACCTTTACTTTTATAGCCATCGTGCCGAGCAATGCAGGCAGCAATCGGTTTACAATCTTTTGATCGATAATCCAGATGCAGTAAGCAAAGCTTGGTCTATTAGAACTGTGTGGACACTTCAAGCTGCTTGGTGATAATTCGAGGTTTGTCAAGAAGACTCGTGAAGCTTCGCGCTTCTGCTCGAAGCTTCCATCATTCGGTCGCCGAAAAATGGCTAGCGCCTAATTATGTAATCGCCACACACCTCGACGTAGGTAACAACATCATGTCCCTTCCTCACACCATGATCGCTCGTATGGATATAATACGCAGTAAACGATGCAATGGCCTTTGGAGTCGCTAGTATGCTGGTTAAGGGCAGAGGGTGCAGTTTTCACAACCTTGAATGAGGCTCACGGATAATATGCATTTATTCAGACGCCCGCAACAACGCCAACAACACCAACGATAACAACAGTAGGAACAACATCAATCGTGACCCCAGAGAGCAGTAGAACCCGAATTTCTATTAAACTCAGGTACCCCAAGAAATGCGGAAGTCTTGCGTCAAGGCAAACAACCCAGCCATCAAGCTCAAAGGTCGCTAGTCACAGGAGTTCCGACAGCCAAGTGGGATGCCTGCGGCAAGGGCGTTGACACATCAAATGAGACTCGAATGGATGAAGAAGTATAAGGCTAAAGCCTTGCATTGCGTTCCTCTCCTGCGGAAGAGAAGGAAGCATAAAGAAGAGATGAGCCCTTCGTTCCTATACAATCCATAGTCTAGGATTCTTCGAGCCAAATCCTCTATGTCAGGTACAAAAGCAACAGGACTGTCAAACATCCTATTCCTATTACACCAATTCGGCTTTGATATCAATGGTGCAATATTACGTTCAAAATGACGGACAGGCTACAGCAATAAAGCCCGAATTTTCGAGATGATGCACTGTGCAATCGATAGTACTTGCGCCCTGCATAGAAGCAATGCATGTAAGCATACGCCGTACTTGGACGTACGCCTTTATTAGCCGGTTATGTCCGAGCAAGGATGTAGTTTCTCATATGCATTGTTCCAAAAGAGACATCGATGCATCATGCAGAGGATACGATTAATGCACATTCTTCTGGGGATCCTGCGGTGCTGCGGTTGGAACTATGATGCGACTTTATCAGAGAGCGTGTCAAATCCCATCACTCTACGTCTGCTAAGCCGCCCCCGCCAACCAGGCAAGTTGACTAGGCAGGTCAGCACTGGTAGGCCTTAGCTATGGGGTAAGATAGGAAGAAAAGTGGCGTAAGGTTGCCCTGCGTTGCCCGCGAACCGTGACTTTGACTGGGGAAGGCTGACAGGTGTACTAGAGTGGCTACGATGGTGACACTGGACCTATATCTTCTTCTTGTATACAAAACCACCAGTGTGTTTTGAACGAACCCTACATCTCTTCACTTACACTAACAAAGTGCTATCAAAGTCCTGACAAGATGAAGATGCCTGCGACATCCCGACCCAGCACAATCATGTCGCTAGCTGACGTCGACGAAGTAGCACTCTCAGCGATTGCAGAGGCGTGTAGAATACCCAAGAACAGAATCCAAGATATCTACAGCTGCACGCCTCTCCAATCTTCCATGATAGCTAAGAGTCGAAACGAGATGTTCCATTTCGTGCTTTCGCCGGCCCGCCCCGTCGACCCCGACCCGTTCTGCGATGCGTTGCGCCAGGTGGTGGCACATAACGAAATTCTGCGCACCCGGATCGTCAACTGTGCCGGCCTGGGCGATGTCAATGTCGTCACAGATGAAGAACATGTGACAAACCGCAACACTGGATTCGACAACATCGAAGTATACCTGCGCGAAGATGACGACGCACCACACCATAACTTCGATACAGGCGGGCTCCTATTTCGATCTGCCTACGTCGGACATCATGCAGTCCTTACGCTGCACCATTCTGTAATGGACTATTGGTCAATCGACAAGCTTATCCAGCTAGATTTGTCCGTGGTCTACGCCGGTGAACCGCCCATAAAGCGGCCCCCGTTCAAGGAATTTGCTAGATACTGCCTTGAGATAGAAGAGGATGCAGCCAGAGCTTTCTGGATGCCGCGTTTCAAGGCCGCTCCGGCCATCTTCCCCGAACCTAGGTCTTCGCAGTCCGCCAAACCATGTGTTAGCGAGAAAACAGTGCGTCATATGTCTTTGCAACGTATGACGGGGCCCGGAGCTCTAGCTTCTTCTACATATGCCCTTGTTCATCGAGGCAGCCTGGGCGTTAACAATGGCCATTTACACCAACAGCGAAAGTCTTGCGTATGGCTTAGTATTGTCTGGCCGTTCCATGACTCTGAATGGAATTGAGAACACTCTAGGGCCTACAGTCACCGAAGTCCCAGTCCAGGTGAACTTGCGGCGTCAGACGATGACGGTAGACAATCTTATCAAAGATCGAGCGGCAGCGTTGCGTCAACTTCAGCAGCATGGTATTGAAGTTCAGTACGGCCTAGTCAATATCAGTGCTTTGAGCGAGCCTGCAAGGGCAGCAGCAGGCTTCCAGACACTCATCAACATCCGCCCTGCAGTATTCTCGGGCAAGGAACCTGGAGACACGGCCAATGGCAACCACGTCAAGTTGCGTATGGTATGGATGCAAGGGTATTATCCGCTACAGCTCATCTTCAGCATCATGGAAGATGGTATCACGGTCTGGGCACGGACTGACTCGGCCGTCATCAGTGATGGACATCTCGATCGGATTCTGAACCAGTTTGAACATACACTGCGTTTACTGACCGAAGTTCCACTGCAAACCAGGCTGGCCGACTTGCCGCTTTTAGATGCGCATGCTCGAGTCGATATATCAGACTGGAATCGTACGCTGCCGGCGGTTGCAGAAATGAGCCTAATTGATACTTTCGACACATGGGCCCAATCTGAAAGCCCAGCGGTGGAAGCTGCCGATGGCAGTGCAACTCATGTGGCTTTGCACTCCATGTCGAATCAAATTGCTGACCAGCTTCGGAGAAGAGCGGTAATACCCGGCAAACCGGTAGGCTTCTTGTTTGAGAAGTCACTTTCAGCGATTGTGGCCTTACTGGGGTTGTTGAAAGCGGGTGGCATATGTGTTCCGATTGAGAAGTACGATGAAGTTCTGCTATCCAGTGTGGGAGCAGAGCTACTAGTCACGTCGTCTGCCAGCTACGCGCACGTCCCAAGCCTCAGGCCAAATGTGTTTGTTGTTGGCCCAGATTTCGTGCTAAGGGCAGTTGTCGAAAAGGATTCGGAGCCCCTGCCAGACGGGCATACCGCGACGACGCAAACGGAGGCAATGAAGAGCACGGCGCAAGACTTGGCGTATATCTTTTTCACAAGCGAAGACTCAGGAGTGCGCCAGACACCGGTGATGCTCAGTCACGGCCACTTGGTCTCAGCGTTAACATGGCACGTGGATCGATTCGACTGGCAACCGGATTGTCGCATTGTCCAGTCCAGTTCATTCGTGTCGAGTCAAAGCTTGCTTGAGATTCTCGGAAGCCTTATCGCTGGTGGCTGTATCTGCATGCCCTGTGTTGATGAGGTCAATCTACCAGCCTTCATCACGTCGGCCAGGGCCAACGGAGCCGTGTTGCCCCCAAGCGTAATCCGCACCATGTCGCCAAGCGACGTTCCGGGCTTGCGCTTCCTGGCCTCTGTAGGCGGCGAAGCCTTCCCCGACGACAGATTAGGCGATACGTGGGCCGGTGAAGTGCGATTGTTTAGAGGATGGGCATTGGGCGAAGCGTCCATGTTGATGACGGTCGGCGAAGTCGTCCCCAACCCGCGGTATGCAGACAGCATGGGCAAGCCTGTAGGCTGCCTTGCTTGGGTCACCAACCCCGATAACACAAACGACTTGGCTCCGCTGGGTGGTGTTGGCGAGGTCGTGATTGAGGGCGGAAGCGGGGTACTTGGCCGTGCAAACGTCAGCCCACCTGCGTGGGCGCCCTTGCGCAACAACTCTGCGACCAGGGGTCCGTACTTTCGCACGGGCATGTTGGCCAAGAACAACCCTGATGGCAGCGTCTCACCTGTTGGTCGAATGAGCAACCGACTGAAGCTGGGCGGGCAGATGATCCAGCTTGAACAGATCGAGCGCGTCCTGGTGCGCTGCAGTCAGCTGAGAGATGCAGTCGTAGTGGCCAGGATAGCGGCGGGAAGAACCCAGTTAGTGGCCGTGGTTTGCTTAGCCGATCCCCGTCTGCCGAGTTGCAAGGTGCTGGGAGAGCTTCCGGAGCAGGACGCCCGTGCTGCTTGCCAGGCCGTCTCTGCATGGGCGCTGTCCGGGCTTTCCCCAGCCTTGGTTCCGACCGTTATCCATGTCGTCGAGGAACTACCTCGATCGCTGCCGCACCGAGTAGATCGCCTTGCCGTTCGTGAGTGGCTTCGTCAACCCCATAATTGAAGTAGCGCTGTCGGGGAGCATGGTTATGCAGTCAGACATTCTCATGCACAGGGTAAGACGAGCTGTTTGCTGAAAGGTTGGATTAGGAAGCAAAGAGTATAGACGTGTAGAATAGGTGGGTACATGGAAGATAGGCTGCTGGGGAGTAAATTGCAATGGATTGATCAATTTCTGAACGTTGAATCCTTGTATAAATTACATGTGGCTATATATATTACAAAAAGGTGAAGAACGGGAAGAAACAAGCGATGTGAATTACGGGAAGAAGCGCGGACTGGTGAAGCCATAACAAAAGGTCCATAGCTTTTATCTGAGTCAAGCGTGGCCTTTTCAACTAGGTAGCGCGCCCACCATGGCGAAGTCCAAACCGAGTATTGCCGTTGCTATCCGGTACCTCCTGAAGCTCCTGGGCTTGAGAATGCATGTTGTCTTTATCATCTCGGTAGAGTAAACCGAACATCAAAGTGTTGGCCATGTTGAGCAGGAGTGGTCGGTCCTCACTTCCGTCTCCTCCTCCCTCAACCTCCGTTCCGTCTTGTGCCAGGTAGATGTGAGTGTCTCCAGGCAGATATGGTCCAGGGTGTCGCACGTTCCAGAGAACAGAGTTGATGAGCATCAGGCTCGCCTCGAAGGCGTAAAAGTACGCCTCGTTCCGAAGGACAGGACTCAACTTCATCAAACGCTCCATGCTTGTAATATCCACACTCGTCGAGCTTGTTGCCATCTCGACGAGGCGGAAGACGCAGCGTACGAATATCAGCGCCATGCTCAGGTAGAGTGTCATCAGGGTCGATCTCACAGCTTTGCTTTGCGCGGGAACTCGAGCCTTGATGCATCGTCGATGAAAGACGACGGAGAGATAGACGAATATGAAGATGACGCAGACCTGGAGTGCGAGGGCAACAAGGAGGAGAGTATGTCCCATCTTCTTAGTCGACTCCTTGGCTTTCGCATTGGCCGTCAATGAAACTCCAGAGCCGCTCAAACCCTCAACTATGGCCATAAGCCCACCGAAAAAGGCCGTGACTCTACTAGGACTGAAGGGTGCGGCATAGGGGACGTAGTGAAATACCCTTCCGAGAATATGGTAGTTCGAGAGTTCCAGAAGTGGGCTAATGCAGTGAACAAGCTAAAGTTAGCCAATGGTCATGAATACAATTCGCAGGATTGAACAAGGGTAAGGTACGCGTGATACTTACGGGCCTAGGTAGATGCAAATTTGGCTCACGATGAACAGAGCCAAAGGAGCCTTGTCCGCGCGGTTGTACATGTAGTTGTATGCTCCATACTCACGGATAGCGTAGCCGAGAGTAAAGAGGGCCGCGCAGGCAGGCTGCAACCATATCAACTTCCAAGCTTTGTAGCGGCTAGCGGAGATGCGTCAGATATTTCAGGTTTGACAAGTACAGGGTATGAAGTGCGAACTTACTAGCACTGCCAGGAGTGGAAAGCCGCAGACATAGCAAAAGCAACTGTGAAGAAGATGGGCGCACCTTTGTTTGGTGCATAGACGTAGAGGCTACCCAGGACTGGAAGAACGTCAGCGAATCATGTCATCCTCATCTTTGGGAAAGCGATAGAACTCACTAGGCACATCGCTGCCAGCCATCGTGTCCTTGTTATGAGTATTTTCGGTGGTTGAATAGCTTCGCCCAGAAAATGCTCGTGCAACGAAAATTGGCGAGTGCCTAAGTAAAAGGAGAGTCGAGGGCGTCGGTTGCCAAGTGACGAACTGAAAGAGAGGCGAGGGCGCTAGTAGGTGAGTGAAAGAAGACAGTGGGTTTTTGGAACAGCTTGTCAGCAGTGAAAGCTCTTCTCTACCTCTCCTTTGAATAAGATGCAAAACTGGCAAAGGAAAGTGTATGTCACAATAAGTTGTTTGAGAGTTGCATGTGCATCGATGAGATCCGCTTTTGTTTGGGTAGTTGCTAGGCCCGAATAGGAGAAAACGAGTGCCAAGAAGCAGGGCAGCCGCGCGGAGTCTGCACTGATTGGTTCTGACATTCTGGCCCTCCCGATCGGGAGAGAATGGGCGCCAAGGAGGGTAGGAGAAGGAAGGGGCGGGTCTGGAGAGTAGCCATGCATGAGACAAGAGCTATTCCGCTGGGCAGTGCAACAAGACATACGCGTATGAACACGACTGCTCTTTCAACCTACACAACTGAGCCAACCCGACGTTACACGAGCAGTTGCACCGACAGGACCTAAGCGTAGCGCTAGACAAAGCTCCTGGGGTCGCTCGTGAAGCACTTGCGTGTGGTTAGTCCGGAGGTAAAAGGCCAGCGACAATCTTAGAAGCTGGAGCCTGTCGCATTGGTCGAGCTTTCATTTGAAGCAGCCGGGCGAAAAGTATATCACCTCGCAAGATTAGCAGTTCACAGGTTAGCGTTATCCGGCATATCGGTAGCCTCGCAAGCATAGAATGTCCAAGAGCTTCGTTCTGTTGCGCGTTTGTCATGCATGCGAAGCACGGCCACCACAGCAGACGTAATCCTCTGCCTAGAATGCGCTTCGCGTCATCCTAGGTCTACGCTGAAGTCAACGATCAATAGTACACCATCAATAAATAATTTCTTCTCGGCTTGCTGCTCTGCGCAATCAATGGTGAGCTTCCCGCATGTTGTCATGTAGGTGTCATCTAAATAGGCAGGCACTCTCGGTTGTTGAAAGCCGTTAACACCGCCTCCCCCACCAAAAGGATTTCTCAACTTTCCCAAGAACTCGACTAGATTTCAAGAATCAACTTTCCAAACTGCTTTCCCGCGCGAATATCTTCGAACAATCCATCAATAGCATCCACGCAATCTAAGCCCTTGACGCTTCTGCTAATGATGGGTTTGATTCTGTGCACCTTGATGAATTTCACCATGTCTCGGAATTCCGCTCTTGATCCGACCATAGTGCCCCGCAAATCGACATTCTTCAGCGCTGCCTGCATAGGCCAATCCATTACTGGCCCGATCGTCATGCCATAGCATACGATTACACCCCCAGGCTTGAGAACAGTCAGAGCTTTGGTGACAATATTTCCACCTGCTCCATCGATGACGGCATCTAAATACGGTCGTTCCGGAGGCAGCAACGATCCCAGAGTCTTGTCCCAGCTATCAGAGTCGGTTTTGTAATTGACTGTCCCAATAGCACCAAGTTGGCGCGCCTTGGCAAGCTTTTCGTCAGAGCTGGAGCTGACGTACATGTTGCAGCCCATGGCAACACCAAAAAGCAGCGTTTGTATAGCTACGCCACCCCCAATACCGGTTACAAGAATATTGCGGCCAGGTTTGGCATTGCCGGACTTGGTCACCAAAGCACGCCAGGCCGTGATACCACAACATGGTATAGCAGCTCCCTCGATGCTGCTCAAGTGCTCCGGCAATACCTCAACCTCGGACTCGTGTACCGAGATGTAGTTCTGCGCCATCCCAAGGTCGAAATGAGGCTCAACACCACCAATCGTGCTGAAGTTCGAATAGTCTTCTGGGCCTTCTGAATTAGAATCCCATCCCCGGAAGGGAGTCAGGATCACCTTTTTGCCGAGAAGTTCGCTAGACGCCGCATTACAGCCTCTTCCAAGTTCGACAACAGTGCCGCACCCATCCGAAAGCATAGGAGACTTGAAGGAGAGGCCAGGGTAGAGATTCTGGCGGAGGAAGAAGTCTCTGTGGTTCAAAGCTGCAGCTTCAAGCTGAATCAGGATTTCATTGGGACCGGGCGAGGGCTTGGAAACGAGGTTCAGTTGAAGTGGGTAGTAGACCTGTCCACCTTTGGCTTTCTTTGGCTTAAGTGTAAGTGTAAAAGGCATATTTTTAGGACGTCGCGGGACTCAGGCTCTCGCAGGATATGACTTTTGTAACAAAAAGTTGAGAAGTTGAGAAAATGAGAAAATGAGCACGGAATGGAGAAAGGTAAGAGGACCTCGCTCCGTGCTTAAGACTCAAGAGTTTCACATGGCAATTACCCTACCCTGTATCCTATATCTCCCCCTCACGGGACTCAACCGTAGACGCAACATGTAACGTCATCAAAGAATCCTGAAAAAAGCGGGCGTTCGTAGAAACAGATGTGATTGATGGACTTGGAACATGCATATGCAAAGCGCTGTGCTCATTGCATCTGCTCCTGTTGGTAAATCCTATGCAGGTTTGAAGTGGTTCAGAATGCCCCCACACCCTCCAAGCATTCGACAAGCTCCAAATGCGGTAGTAAGCCTGTAATTGAGCTTGGGCTGACGTTGAGAGCAGAAGGCCTCTCCTGCGGGTGAGATTGTAGTAATCGTTCGCCAAGCCGGTTGATGATGCATGTTGGATTCGAAACTATGGACATCAACGGTTTCGTGCTGGCCGACTCGACGGACGAAAGAGTCGCGAGCTTTGAACAAGGCCAAGAAATGAAATTTCGGGGTCAAATGGACTCCCCTGACTGATTATACGGACTGAAAAGACTTGTTCCCCTCGCATCTTACTTTTTGTGCTTCTTACAATCAACTGAATTCTATGGAACAAAGCCTAAAGTTACCTTACTACATTGATGATAAATGAGAACTGGGAAGACATTTCACTTGACTCTCTCTCACTCAATCCCGACACCACACCGCGCCATACAGATAATCTACCCCTGGCCCGTTATGTCTTTTGTCCTCCTATTCGTTACTCTTTGTTCGCTTGTTGTCCTCCGGGAAGCACTCAGATGGCTCAGAATGCTTGCAAATGCTCGCTCAATCGGCTTGCCCGTTGTGTTTGTTCCCATTGACCAAACCAATTTCCTCTGGATACTTTTCGCTTCTCGCAACCGATTCCGCTTACAGCGTCTTCTCCCATCATGGCTTTGGAAGCACATATCCATAACGATCCCGGGCTGGGAACTTTTTGAACCATCAAATCCCCATCAAAGAACCCTTGCATATCGCGCAGATGCACGGGATGCATCCTTCACACTGGTAGGATTGCGTTCGTACGAATTTTGGACCGCCGATCCCCAAATATCCCACGAGATACTGCGCCGGGTCCACGATTTCGAGCAGCCACGTGAATTGGAATTTCTCCTGGCTAAATTCGGCCCCAACGTCTTGACTTCCAACGGCGTCCAATGGGCTCGACACCGCAAGATCGTTGCAAAGGTCATCAATGAGCGCATATCGAAAGCGGTGTTCGAAAAATCTATATACTATTCTCAGACACTCCTGCACGACTTACTTCCAGTCTCGCCCAACAAAAAGAGCTCGATCGAAACTACGATGCTGTTTGACAGGCTCACTCAGGTCAGCTTCAGCATCCTCATCGGCGTTGGTATTGGTGACAAGTTTCCTTGGTATGATGAGGAAAAACATGAACCTCAGTTTCCTTATCAGATGGCTTACAAAGATGCGCTTCTCACCTATGTGAACAATGCGTTCGGGCTTGCTATACTTCCGCCACTTCTTCTCAATTACTGGCCATCATGGGCGCCAGGACATAAGAAGATGAGGAAAGTAGGACGTTCCATGACGGAATTCCGCATGCGCAATCAGGCCTTGATCGACCAAGAGCAGAGTCGCATAGCCACGGGGCAATCCAGCGCTTCTTCCAACCCGGACTTCATAGCACTCTTGGTTCAAGCATCTCAAAATGGAAATGAGCCCCAACAGACACTGTCCGGGGATGAAATGATCAGCAATTTGTTCGCCTTTACCGCTGGTGGATTCAAAACTATCGCAGGGGCCTTGGACTTTGCTGTAGTCCTTTTAGCAAGGTTTTCATTATGGCAAGATTGGCTAATCGAAGAAGTCGATAACCTGATACCTGCTCACGGAGATGGAATGGGTACCCTAGATTATACGACTATCTATCCGGAGGCTGTCCGCACACTAGCGTTCGTCATGGAAACGGAGAGATTGTATGGCTCCGCCTCGCGCTTATTCAGGGTAGCATCAGGTCCCCAAATTGTTCAAACATCATCGGAGACTACAGTACGACTTCCAGCCAAGACCAGGGTCCATGTAAATGTGGTGGCTCTCCACCACTTGCCGTCATGGAAAGATATCAATCATCAATCAGATCCAGATCGGTTCAAACCCAGTACTTGTATTCCAGACGAGGATTTATTTCGCCCGTCGAGATGGATCAATCCGCCTGGATCGGCGACCATTCATTTTCACCCACCCAAAGGCACATTCGTGCCATGGTCACAGGGGCCTCGAATATGTCCAGGACAGAAAATGGCACAAGTGGAGATCACAACCTTGATTCTATGCCTACTGAGGAGACACAGAATTCAACCAACAAGGTTAGAAGGAGAGGCTCACCAAGATGCGGAGAGAAGACTAGATGCAAAATTGCGGAATGTACAATGGGCTGGAATTGTGTCCTTGGAGAAAGATCCAGATCTGAGTTTCAAGGTGTCTCAGCGCCGATAGTAGGATTTCGCACCAGAAAGTTATGGCAGGATGGGATAGCGTTATTTTCGAACGTAGCTCTTGTCATAGCAACGTTGATATATCAGATTGTTTCCATTTCCAAAGTTCCTATCGGCAATGCTGTGTTAAATGATGAACCTGAGCACTATAACATGTCTCTACTGTCAGAATCAACAGTGATTCACTATCTGTTTCATTCATTTAGTAATAACTTTAGAAATCGTCAGTTTTCCCTCCAGATCATGTTTCCTAATTCGACGCATTCGCCTGAATGCTCGCACATGCTGGTACTGGATAATTATCATCGGATCAATATTGAAGGATGACAAATTGAACGCTACGGGAAGTATAAAATACCTTAAGTAAGCACTCAAACACTTTACGCCCGGTCCGCGAAGAAGTACCTATTCATAGGTCGCAACAGGGCCACCAATTATCCTACTGTCATGTAACACGCGACAGATAAGACCAGCTTCCAAGATCTCCACGTTGGGCTAAGAAGAGCAGGCAACTGGATCTGATGCGTGTCAGCGCTTAGGACACGAACTCCGTAAATGCATGGTTGTGTATCTCAATCCTTGCGACAGTTGATGCAGGTTGGAGATAATCCAGCAAGGTCTGAATCCTACTGAACGGGATATGATCCGAGTTCGCAGGATGACTCAGTTCTAACAATCCAATTAAATTCTCACCCTGGTCTGGTCTCGATAAGAGCCATCGGTGTGGTGTGTAAGTGGCAGGGACCATGATCTGCATAAGGTATTGTGGCTTCGGCGAACCACAAGAAGCTAAACGGTATTGGCCAACGGCAGGTGAGAATGGGCTATTTACCCATCTAGGAAGGGGTTTGGGCGTATCTCTCGACCGCGGAACGGAACTCATGTGAGGGGGTGACTTGGTGTGGGGGGGTAAGAGTTGGTGGAAGAGAAGGAGTTGGTGTGAGGGAAATATCTGGTGCAAGGGGGTTCAGTGAAATATGTACATAGAGCAAGGTATTTAAGGATACGCAACAGAAGCTCTCCTCAATCATGCACCCTTCTATTCATTCTCTCAATATTACAGTTCGTCTGATTATGTGTCACTGAACAATTGTTGCACAACACACGTAGCCAACCAAATTCCACCGTATTTTCATACTCAGAATGGCACCTGAAAGTCGCGTTGCCGTCATTGGTCTTTCCTACCGTGCTCCTGGGGTCCATGGGAAAAGCCTTTGGGAATACCTGTCTCAAGCAAGGTCAGCTTGGACTAGTGTTCCAGCTGATCGCTATGATCAATCTGCCTATTACCAGGCTGGTGGTCAGAAATCAGGCGTGGTCGGTACCAAAGGAGCACATTTCATCGACAGCCCCTTTGGTTTCGATGCTGCCTTCTTCAACATGAGGGCCGACGAAGCCAAGCATGCGGATCCACAGCATCGTCTAATGCTCGAGGTAGCATTGGAAGCAGCCGAGGATGCAGGCAAGACCTTTGTCGATCTCGCCGGCAAAAAGATAGGTGTGTTTGTTGGCTCGGGGCAGCACGAGTATGCTCAGCGCCTAGGCGATGACGAGCATGCCATACAGACATTCTCAGGAACGGGGGCCGCTCCATGTATGGCCGCTAATCGTGTCTCGTACTTCTTCGACATTGATGGTCCAAGTGTTGTCGCAGATGCTGCGTGCGCTAGTAGTGTCTACGCGGCAGACATGGCTGTCAGAGCCTTACGAAACGGCGAGTGCGATGGAGCCTTCGTTGGCTCAGCATCACTGAATCTGAGTCCAGCTGGCTGGTTGGTGCTAGAGAAGACTGGGTAAGTTGGTGGTTCTCTGAAATATCTATGGAAATACTAACACTGATATTTAGAGCGCTATCTGAGCACGGCAGAAGCTACTCGTATGATACCAAAGCATCAGGCTTTGGCCGTGGTGAGGGTGCCGCATGTCTATTACTGAAGCGTTACGACGATGCCATCCGTGATGGTGATCCGATTCAGGCACTGATTCTTAGTACCGCATGCAATCACAGCGGCAGATCGGATGGAATTACGATGCCAAACGGATTGGCTCAACAGAAATTGCTCTGGGCCGTGCATAACGCGGCTGGTGTAGATCCTTCCGATACACCTGTTGTCGAGGTATGCTCTCTGACGGAGATAAGGGATTCTGTTCGTCGTAACACATGCTAATCACTTTCAGGGTCACGGAACGGGAACAGCAGTCGGTGATCCAATTGAAGCTGGAGCATTCACCGCCGTGCTCGCCAGAAATCGCACGGCGAGCAATCCTATCTATCTAGGATCTCTAAAGTCAAATTTTGGGTAAGCTTACATCCAAAGAGTCTGACAATCATCTTTTCACACTAGTCGCAGACATCTGGAAGGGGCAAGTGGTGTACTCGCCATGGTCAAAGCAATCATGATGCTCAAGAAAGGCATGGTACTACCAACCGCCGGTTTTGAGAAAATCAATCCGAAGATCGAAGGTCACGAGAAGATCAAGATCCCAGAAATGCCAATTCCATGGCCAGAGAACGAGAAAAGACGGTGTATTGTGACCAACTTCGGTGAGTTACACCCTTAAAAGATGTTCTAAAACGATCTGATTGGAGTCTCAAAGGGTTTGGTGGCAGCAACTCTGCAATCCTGATGGAGGCTGCACCTTCCAAGGCTGTATCGAATGGTCGCACTATCAATGGGGCCGACGGTACGAATAGCCATGCCACACAAGAGCCCAACGGTATGAATGGCCATGTCACAAATGAAGCTAACGGTACAAATGGGCATGCCATCAAGGAATTTAACGGGACAAATGGTCTTATGGAAAACGGCAATGGCATCGCTAAGCAGACTCAACGGCTCTATGTCTTTTCAGCTAAGACTCAGAAGAGCCTTACATCGTACCTGATTACTTTCGATGAATACTTGGACACAGTATCAGAATCAAGTGAATTTGCGACAAACCTAAGTTATACGCTCGGACAGCGCCGTAATCATCACCCGTATCGAGTTGCCGCTGTTGCTGATTCCATGGAGAGCCTACAAGAGAGATTGTCGGTATTGAAGCCAACAAGAACAAAGGAGCGGGCAGTTCTCTTCGTGTTCACTGGACAAGGCGCTCAGTAAGTTTGAGACAGCATCAGAAGAGATGAGAGGAAGAGCGTTATACTAATCCTTTTCTTAAGGTATGCTGGAATGTCTTCCGGATTGGGACACTTCGAAATCTTCGACAAGACACTGAAAGCGGCTGAACTGCAACTCCAAAAAATGGGAGCGACCTGGTCCCTGATTGAAGAGCTTCGGAAGATACCGTCTGAATCACGAGTCGATGATGCAGAAATCAGTCAGCCTGCCTGTACCGTGGTACAGTTGGCTTTGGTCGCACTATTGAAGGACTGGGGAATCACTCCAGCTGCAGTCACCGGACACTCTAGCGGTGAGATTGCGGCGGCATATGCTGCCGGCCTGATCACTTTTCAACAAGCTATTGCTGTGTCATATTTCCGCGGTCAAGCAGCCGCTCAACTGGCCACAAAGCAGCAGCCAGGAGAGAAAGGGGCCATGCTAGCTCTTGGTGTGAGCTTTGAGGAGGCCTCAAGGCTGATAGAGGAGCATGCTGAAGCGTATGCCACAGTTGCTGCTGTCAACAGCTCAAACTCCGTCACAATTTCAGGAGACCAGTCTGCAATTGACAACGTCCACAAAGCTGCGGAAGCCACAGGTCTGTTCACTCGCAAACTCAAGGTTCAAATGGCCTACCATTCTCGGCACATGGAAGCGGTTGCCAAATCTTACCTCGAGGATATTGAACCCTATTTCAGTGAAGATGCCCCCTTTTCCGGAAAGAAATCCACGGCTCATCCAATGTTCGTGTCATCCGTCACTGGGCGAGTGGTGGACAAGATCGATCCTTCCTATTGGGTAAAGAATCTTGTCCAACCAGTCATGTTCATGGATGCAGTCCAAGGTCTTCTGGCACCTGAACATCTTGGCAAAAGTAAGGCTGCACAGGCATTGCCCAGAGTGGTCATAGAGATTGGTCCACATGCGGCTCTGAGAAACCCGATCAAACAGACAGCAGAACTTGTACAGGTCCAACAGAACTGGAGTCCCGCCTCTTTCACATACCTGCCAACTTTACTGCGTGGTATTGACGCCACTCAATCTATGCTGGAGCTAGCCGGCACCCTGTTCACTCTGGGAACACGTGTTGAACTAAAAGCAATCAACCAGACCGACAAACATAATGCTGAAGTCATCACCGAGCTTCCGGCTTATGCCTGGGACAAAACCGATTACGAGCTAAGGCCAAGATCTACAAATGACAAGTACTTTCCGGGTGAGAATTTCCATCCTCTCCTGGGACGCAAGATCAGCCCCAACGCTAGCCAAGAGCGGACATACAGGCAGGTGTTCACTCTGGACGAAATGCCATGGATTCGCGACCATGTCGTTGGTGGAGCCACCATCTTCCCTATGACAGGTTATATGTCTTGCGCTATCGAGGCTGCCCGAAGAACACTGTCCACCACTGCCGCTGCTTTTCTCGTAACTGACTTCCACGTCGTCCGAAGTCTGGAGATACACGAGGAGACGACTGTCGATATGACGACGAAGCTCAAGCCAGCAGTGATTGGTGAGGGATCCTTTTCTACCAAAGCTTGGTCGTTCGAGATTATGACATGGGCAGAGGAAAGCGGGTGGACAAAGCACAGTTGGGGCCAAATTGAGCCCGAAATGAACGAAATGTCCATGGACACACCCACATTCCGTGCTTCTCTTCCCCTGGTCAACACGACGACCGGCTTGAAGGAGCATGATATCAATGCTGAGTACGAGACCGCAGGCCTTCGTGCTACATTGTACGGGCCTTCATTTCGAAACAACGTGAAATTCTACGAAGAGAAAGAGTTACACGATCCTCGAACACCGATTGAGGGACCTTGGTGAGGCTCTACGCGATCCATACGCCCGAGGATCGCCTGTCAGTATTGATCCTCCAACACTAGATGGTTTTCTCCAAGGCGGTGGACCTCTCCAATATGATGAGCACGGGAGGCGACCCGCCCAGATGCCCAACTACATCAGCCGTTTCAGGGTCTCCAACAAAATTCCGTCAGATCATTTGCATCGCTTCGACATAGTTATGCGTCGACTTGACTACGATGTAAGAGGTGGTCGCATGCACGTTGGAGTTGCCGCCTTCGCAAGAGATTCCGATGATAAATTGACGCCCATCGCTGAATGGGAATCCTGCGCATTCCGCAACATTGGTTCAGCTGAAGAGGTTATTGATCCCTCCGCGACTGTGCCAGACAACTGGTCCTGGGAAGTCCTACCACGCTATGACTTTGTCCCACAGAAGCAGCTAAGAGAGAAGCTTTGCGATGCGGCTGGAGAGTTGGGGGTGGAAGAAGATATTCGCATTCGCAAAGGTGAAGAGGCTGCGTGTTACTACATTGAGAAAGCGTTGAGAGAAACGGCCGACCTTGACTACTCCAAGCTACCACATCACCTGGCCCGATTCGTTCATTGGGGCTTCAAGACTGTTGCTGAGTACGACTTGGACTATACCAGTGAGCCCACAGCTCTGCTAAATGAGGTGCGGACCAGCGATGCCCAGGGCGAACTCATCTGCATTATGGGTGAACACATCGTGGATATACTGCGCGGCAACATAGAACCACTGGAAATCATGCTTACTGATGGTCGTCTTACACGCCACTATGAGGCCGATGTAACGAATGCCCACCTCAGCAAGGTACTTGGTCACTTGACCGAATACTTGGCCGACCTTGAGCCCAACCAACGCATTCTGGAGATCGGAGGCGGAACAGCTGGCACAACCCTACCTGTAATCGAGGGTCTATCGCGTGGTAGGGATGAGTTGGCAGTGCTCGACTACACTTTCACGGACATTTCGTCTGGCTTCTTTGAGATGGCCCGCAAGAAGCTGAGTGATTGGTCGCAGCGCATCACTTATAAGAAGCTTGATATCACTCAGGACCCCAACAGCCAAGGCTTCGAACAGCAAGACTATGACGTAGTCATTGCAGCAAACGTCCTGCATGCGACCGCAGATATGGTAAAGACCATGACCCACGTACGGAGCTTGTTGAAACCAGGGGGCAAGCTCATCTTGCTAGAGGCCATGCGTCACCCAGCCTCTGTTCTTCCATTTTCGCTACTTCCTGGATGGTGGGAAGCCGAAGATAAATACCGTGACCACGAAGTGGGTCCGATGATGCCAGCGAATGTGTGGAATCAACTGCTCCTTGACAGTGGGTTTTCTGGCGTTGACGTGGTTCTTCCTAGTAGGTACGGAACTGACAAGCCCTTTGTGAGCATCATGTGCTCTGCCAGAATCGGAATACAGGACGATAGCAGGCCGGTCACTATCTGCGGGCCTTTCCTGGATGAAAACGAGGTGGAGTTTGCCCAGTCAGTGGCGGACCTGATCTCGAAGGAACTCGGCTATCCCACTGAGATGAAACCCTATGCTGAAATCGATCCTGAAGATAACCCATACTATGTATTCATCGACTCTCCGCGTAGAAGCGCTCTGCAGGACATGGACCAAGACAGGTTCAAGAGCCTACAGAACCTGCTTCTACAGAACACAGGATTACTGTGGGTTACACCCGAGGGAACTTCACCCGATGCCAAGATCATACAAGGCATGGTGCGCACCTTACGTATGGAGGTTGACTTGAAGAACTTGATCTTGTTCGAAGATGTGCCATGCACGTCTCAGGGTGCCATGGGGATCTTGAAACTTGCCACGAAACTACGCGACCCCGAGCTGTCGCGCGACCAAGACTTTGACTTCGTCTGGCATGACGGCGCGATCCAACTTCCACGAATGCGGCAACTGAAAGAGGTTAAGGAGCAATTCGCCGTTGAGGAAGGGGTAGCTTTCCGCAAAATGCAGAACTTATGGGACAACAGTGACCGCGGTTTGGAAATGACTATAGATGCCGCAGGAAGTCCTGATACCATATATTTCCAGAGGACTGATATCTCCCGACTTGGCGAAGACGATGTTGTGGTAAGGGTTGAGGCAGCAGGTGTAGGCCATCGCGATCTCGAAGTGGTACTTGGATCGATCCCTTGGGCTCCACCTAGCTACGAAGGAGCCGGCAAGATCATCAAGACTGGCTCTCGGGTCTCACATCTGCGAGAAGGAGATGATGTCTTCTTCCTTACGCCTGATTCCAGCGCTCTGGCCACGGAAATAAAGCTGCCATCATGGCTAGTCGGCAAGATCCCACAGGGCGTCAGTGTCACCGATGCTGCTACCCTACCACTCGCATATTGCCTAGCGGTACTGGCTCTTACCCAGAAAGCGCGACTTAGGAAGAATGAGACGGTCCTCATTCATGCGGCCACTGGCTCTGTAGGTCAGGCATGCGTGATGCTTGCGCAGAACGTGGGCGCTCACATCTATGTTACTGCTGGGAATGAAGCGAAGAGAGATTTCTTACACCAAAAGTTCGGCATCCCCAAGGATCAAATTTTCTCAAGCCGCACCCCAGAGTTCAGGGACCAGATCTTGAGTGCGACGGCCAACAAGGGTATAGATGTCATCGTGAATTCTCTGGGCGGGGAGCTGATGACAGAGACTTGGGCTTTGACCGCACCCTTTGGTCGATTCATCGAGATAAGCAAAAAGGACGCCTTCCAGAACAACAATCTACCTATGAAACCTTTCAACAGAAACGTCATGTATACTGGCATTGATCTCCGCGACCTCTACCAGTACCGACAAGACGACGTCAAGGACGTTTTCACCGAGGTGGTCACTTTGCTCGAGCGCGGCAACATTGAACCCATTCAGCCGGTGACTACAACTCCCATCTCCCAATTTGCGACTGCTCTTCGAAAGCTGAAGTCTGGTGAGCATATGGGCAAGATGGTTATCACGTTAGGCAAGGACGACAGTGTCATCGCGGAGACAGCCTTGCGGCCCTTGGATGTGGCCTTGAAGTCAGATGCGACATATCTTGTTGCTGGTGGGACGCGCGGTATTGGTCTTGATCTCGCCTATTGGATGATTGATCACGGAGCGCGATACATCGTCCTTCTCAGCCGTAGTGGAGCAACCGGGCCTGAGGCTCAAAAGATACTGAACAAGTACAGAGACACTGATATTTGTGTGAAGATTTTCTCCTGTAACGTTGGTCACCGGAATGAGCTTGCCGGAGTTGTGGACGCCATAAGAGACCTCCCTCCGGTTCGTGGTGTCATACATAGCGCTCTCCTTTTGAGTGTAAGTTATTTGCCAGTACTGAAGAGGATCAAAGTGAGTTGCTGACTGAGCCTCCTAGGACAAACTATTTGTCAACTCCACTCTCGAAGATTGGAATATTATAACCACGCCCAGGGTGAAGGGCGCGTGGAATCTTCATGAGCTTATGCCAAACGACCTTGATTTTTTCGTTGCTCTTTCTTCTTTCAACGGAGACACCGGAAATCTTGGCCAGGCCATCTACGCCGGCACTGCCGTAAGTGACACAACAAGAATAGCACTCAGATGGCCAGAGAAATGTTAACATGAATTCAGGGATTCTACAACGCATTCTCCCAATATCGTAATGCCCGCGGCCAATACACTGTTTCGGTCGCTTTGCCTGTCGTGCTGGACGTAGGCTACGTGGCGGACAACAATTTGAGCGAGATCCTCAAGGAATCGCTTGGTGTGGCCATCACAATGGCGGACATTCGAGCGATCTTTGGTGGCATTCTGCTCGGGCCGTCTTCCCCATTCGTCTACAACGGCAGAGCACAGACTTTCATGGTCTACATTGACGGTCAGCCGGTCCAAAATGGTGGTTGGAAATATTTCCACCCGGTTCATACCAAGGTCCGTCTCATGAGCGACAAGAGAAATCGAGTCAAGGCTGTGGGTGGAGGAGCCGACCTTCACTCCACATCCTGGACCACTGCCGAAGACCCCTTGGTTGGTCTGACTGAGGCGATGATCACAAAAGTCTCTGCAATGACCATGATTGAGCGGGAAGAAGTGCTGCCAGATGCGCCTCTTACATCGTACAATCTCGATTCTCTGGTTTCTGTCGAGCTGCGCAATTGGATCCGCAGAGAAACTGCTGTTGAGCTAACCTTGAGTGCGATCATGCAGGCTGATAGTCTGCGTGCCCTCGCAGGCGAAATTTTGTCACAAAGGAAGGCAGATTAAATGGCGATACCGGAGTTCAAACATCGAGGAAATTTCCTGAACAGGTCTGGCTCTTTTGCAGAGCAGGAGAATGGGACAATTCGTTGCTTTAGCAGTCTTATGAATATCATCTCCCATTTTCAGCACCGTCTTGCCCTATCTCTTAATGCAGTCGCATTATCGTTGAGCTGGCAATCTGAGGGGCTGCAGACACCGATCCTAGAAGGGGCTTACTAGCATCTTCTTACTACGGGTGTAGAAGCCTCATTGAACGTAAATCTGAGTTTCGGTGTTCTATATTCCGTAGGATTCTCAGTTGTCGTTCTGCAATATAAAAGAATCAGAAAACGTTCGCGCCGTCGTTTGCGTTGTCGCAACATTTAGTTAGTAGATTTCTGTGTGACTGCTAGCGAGCTGGCAGAAAATTCCCGCCGTCGCTCAATACCTTTAAGTACATGCTCATGTAAAACCTCTCGTAGGTCTTAGCATTTGGTTCTCGTGCGAGGTGACAGAAACAACGAAGATGTTTCTTGGGGGCGAGGTCGATGACAGATACAGCGTGCCTTTAACTACGGCGGCGTCTGGCAGGATGAAGTGTTATGCCATCACTGTTCAGCAAGAATTAGAGCCTATGCTTGCAGAGTGAGGCCACTTCGTTGTTCGACGCGCGAGTCACTTGTTGCAACAGGGAGCCCTAGAGACCATATCGAAGGTCAGTTTATCACGCACTCTATAGACGGTGACGCGAAGACTATATCGAATCGGCAGTCAAGAAGAACATTCTGCAATCGAGGAGGAGACATGGCAGCACCAGATAGAGAGATTCTTTGGGCCAAATGTGCAGCCCCAGACGCGAGTGTAACCATGCCAGAGTCACTGAAGAGCGCGCGAGCCGTTCAATTAGCTTTCAAGTGAAAAACAGAGAGGTTTGATCGTTGAGAAGATCCTGGATGCGGAAGAGTCTATTTGCATACCTCCCCACATAGCCCGGACTCCGACTATCAAGGTGCAGATACTCTGCTAACGTCCACTGCAATCTGCATCGTGAATGGATACGGTCTGTCAAAGCAGGTATCCCAACGGTTGAGACCGGATGCCCAAAACGATTGAAGCACACTTTGGGCTGTTAGGGGTATGGATGTGCCGACAGACCGGCTCAGCTCTGGTAGCTGCTTCGAGACAAAGTCACGAGTCGCCATACCACTGTGGACCGCCTCCACACCGAGCAGTACCAATGGCCACAACATGAATCTCTTGGTTCTGGCGGATGACAGGCCTTCGGGGAGGTGATGCAGCAGAACCTGACCATGGGTGACACAGGTAGCCCTCAACGCCGAATTCTCGGGAAACACTGATACGCTCTGTAAAGAGAGAATACAATAAAGTGCTGTCGCAGATCTGTAGAGAATTGCGATGCGTATCCAATCTTCTTTTGACGAGAACTTGGATTGCGTGGACTCCTCCGGGGAAAATGCTTCGATGCTCTCTAGTATGTTGTACGCTTCGTCCAAGAGATGATCCTCCGTAATTTCCTTCTTGCTCTTCGCTTGCAGACGGAGATAGTTAATCTTTGAAACCTCGGCTAGCAAGTGTGGAGGAAACATTTGCGTTGGTGTCGTTGCGTAGCGGTAGTGTTCTTGCATAAAGGTCGATGTTTCGACATGCGGAATTGTTGACAAGTCGAGGTAAGACGCTGGACACGTTGTGTTTGCGATGATACTTATGCTATACGAAAACGTTAGTTCTCAATTCTTGACAGGTTCATCAGCAGCGGGTGTAAGACTACGTACAACCAAAGACAATTTAACAACGGGGCCAGGCTTTGCGATAGGGCCAATGCACGAAACCCGCCACGCAAGCTAACAAGCCTGCGAACACCATCAAAGTGATGATGCCACGAGACCTGAGCGCCATTTTGGATCTGTAGTTTACATTAGTAGAGGTCATGCACCTTCATTCACAGTGCTAGACTTACATCAGCAAGTAAGAGGGTCAAAATTCCCGCGAGGACAACATCGCTGGTGCGCAAATTCTCCACACTAAATTGCTCACTGAGCGAGCGGATCGTAATGCCCCAGTGAGTATAATATTTTTCTGCCAAGTCTTTTGCTCCTGAGTTGGAACCTATGCCAAGTCGATTCATCCGGTGATTTAAGGTCATACAGATAAGGCCGGACCTTAGAAATTCCGGGACTGATGTAGCCTCCTGCAGGCGTGCAGGTGAGATGTAGTGTATGTAAGGATGTCTTCCAAGTTCGTGTATTGGGGTCAGGTCTTCTAAAATGCATTTGTTATCTGAGAGGCCGAGTTAGTGTCTAGCGTCCAGTAGCGCCGGCAGCAATCAAGACTTACAGTACTCCGCGGCTTGAAACAAGGCAGAAAAGGCAGATTGCTCTGGCGTTAGACATGGCATGTTCCGGTCAACTTCCCTCAGCCCAAAAGCCCGGGCTGAAGCTTTGACGACCGTGGTTGGTTCCCCAGCCAGATGTGCATTCTTCGCTCTGCGATTTCGAGACAGGACTTTTCCCGGTTCGAGCCACCTCAGTCTTCTGGGTTCGACATCGCCATATCCAAGGCACAAGGCACCAGCTGCAGAACACCTTTGGCACTCTGGTTCTGTGGAGTCGCAGACTACGCAGTTTCGACGACATTGCCAGCAATGTCGCTTTCGATCTAGATCTTCCATTGCAGCTATTATATGAGGTGCGTGATTATAACGAGTTAGATTGCTATTCGTGCATGCGACTCTGAGTATGATAGTTGCTTAGTGAGTTCTATAACAGGTTCGTGGTTTGCTTACTTATCAGTCCGTGCTGAGGCACAGCTAAGCTGTTACGGTGCTGCCCCACGTAACCATCTGCCCTGCTACGCAGTTCGCATAAAAGAGCCCACTTATTATTAAGCTTAGGCCTACTCTACCAAAATCGATGATCTTATATAGAATATCCTAACTTTAATCTTAAATATCTCTACTACTACTAACGTACCTTACGAGCGAGTAGCTAGCATAGGCGAGTAGCTAGCTCTGCTAAGATCTTACTAAAACTCTAACTATGCATAACGTATCCACAGGCGAGCCGCCTACACAGACGAGCTGCCTACTTTTTTCTAGAATTATGTTTCTCTCTATAACTCTATAAGTATCAGACTTTTTTAGAATTTTATTAAATATTCTAAAAGCTCTAAATGAAAGCTTTCTAATATCTTATAAATTACCTAATTAGGCCTAGTATTACTAAAGTTATAGCTTAGTAAAGTCTAAGAGCTTACTTAGCTTTAGACTCTAGTAACTTAAGCTATACTTTAATAAATCTCTTACTAACTTTAATATAATATATATTATAAGTAAAGGAATAGTATTCTAAAGTTCTAGACTTATAGCTAATTTATTAAAGAAGTTATAGAAGAACGTAGTTACTTAGTACTAAGTTTAAGAAATATTATATATTAGATACTATAAATAGTATATATTAACTTTTAAACTTATTTTATATACTATTAGTATCTTTATACTATATCTTAGTTAGCTTTTATTAAAACCTTTCTAAGTAGCTAATAATTAGATAGCTAGTATTAAAGAGCTTAAGTTAGTTTTTATAGATAGAGTAAAGCAGTACTAGATATAGAGATTAGAGTAGTAAATAGATATAAGTTAGGTTATAGTTAATATATTTTATAACTAAAGCGTATATCTAACTAAGTTACGTGCTTTACTTTACTATAACGCCTATATAGCGATATAGCATAATATTATAATAAATTTATAACGTACCTTATAGATTAGCAAGCTATATAGGTTAGCAAGCTACTTTTGCTAAGCTTCTACTAAAACTATCTTATTCTAGCGCAAAATAGCCTACTTTAGCTCTATATAGTATAAAGCAAGATATAATATTATTTAGAGTCTACTTCTACTACTTTCTTATATATACGCGCATTATATCTAGTCTTATTATACTATCTATACTGCCTTTAAGAGAGCTTGCCTGCTTTAGCGCGTATCTGCTTTTTTGCCTTCTTCCTATTACTATACGCACTAAACTTCTTTAGAGTTATCTATTAAAGACTATTCTTAACTATTAAGATCTCTTCTTCTTATATACGCTTTCTTTTATATAATTTACGTTGCGTAGCAGCTTTATTAGTTACTTAAAGCTTAGTAATCTTCTTCTGCGCTAATACTAGCTTATACGTAATAATTACTACTCTCTTTAAGATCTTCTTAAAGGCTTCTACTATAGATATTAGTAAGCTATCTATATACCTCTAAATTCTTACCTTTATAAGCGTTAATTATAATCTTAATTTAAGAGTATTACTTAGAGTTTATAACTACTAGAGATAGTCTTTAATAGTAAGTAATAGTAAGATATAGATATAGACGTTAAGAGCTAATATAACCTGCTCTAGGTTAAATAGGACTAATCTAGTGCTTTAAAACTCTTCTTAGATATTACTAGAAGTAATTACTGCGTTAAAGGTGCGCTTAAAGCATAGTAGAACACTTAAGTTTTATAATATATATAATCTAGTTATGCATAAGCTCTTTAGCTTAGCGTCTATATATCTTCTTTAAAGAGGCAAAATAACTTATATTAAGAGGCTATAGAAAGTATAATAAGTAAGAAAGCATATAGATAGTAATAATCTTATTATTCTTATAGTATTGCTAGAATTTAAGTAAGTTATAGCTCTTATAGCTATTAATAATAAGCAGCTAATAAGCGCTTATAACTCTTCTCTTTATATGCTTATTAAAGTGCTTTAACTACTATAGACTAAGCTTATTTATTATCTAGCTATTCTTAGAGACTATAATAACCTAATTATAAGGTAGATCCTCTTTCTTATACTAAGCTAAGAGATAGTAGCAGCTCTTAAAGATAATAAAGAGTAGAATAGCTTACTCTATTGCATTAACGCCTTAGATAACTATTATCTACTCTTAATTACTCTATTATACTATCTTTAGCTATTCTTATCGCTCTAAAGCTATAATAACTGCTCTAGTTAAGATCTAGCCTATTATAAAGCTAGACTTATTAAAGTTATATATATTATTATTAAGGATACTATGCTTTGCCTTTATATTCTCTATAAGCTAGAACTAGTCTTATATAACCTTAGAATCCTTGCAGAGAGCTCTCTTATAGTTATATTTGCAATTAAACTTTGTTTAGAGCTTAGAGCAGCGTTTAATAAACATACTAGGCTAGTTTAAGCTAACTTAGCTTAGACTACGCTTAGCGCGCAGAGAATTAGCTATATTAGCTATAGCTGCAAGCCTAGGAGGAAATCTACGCATAACTAGCTTAAGTATATGCTTAATAACTACGTCCTTCTTAGTTAGAGTTAGATTTATTAATTTAAGCTAGTAATCTACCTAGAAAGGTTATCTAGCATATTAATAACCTAGAGTTACTTAAGATACGTTATAGATAGCTGCAGCGTATTATATAGAGAGTATTACATCTTATTTAAGAGCTTAGAGAGTAGTCTATATCTTCACGTTTATTAGAAGCATTTATTTAGTGCTATTATTAAGGCATTACGTAGATAGAGTAGTTTTAGTAAAAGCTTAGCAAAAGTAGCTCGCTAACTTATATAGCTCGCTAACCTATAAGGTACGTTATACTATAAATATAAATATATTATTTATTAGAAGCATTACTATCTTCTATATTCTCTATCTTTACTTTATAGATATAGATATTATATCTAGTCTTACTATAAGTACTATAATACCTCTCTATATATACTCTCTTTAATAGTCTATTATTATTATTATAATAGTTCTCTACTATTATAATAATTAAGTCTAATATCTTACTAACTATTAAAATCTTCTCTACTTATTATTTTAGGTAAAAGTAGAATTATGCTATAAGTAGCAGATATATATAATATAGTAAAGTAATAATAAAAAGAGACTATAGAATAGGCTATATATCTAAGACCTTAATATAGTAATAAGTAGTAAGTAAAATTTAATAGTATAATAGAGTAGATAATTATAATATCTAGCAGTAGTAACTTTAACTACAAATTATTATAATAGTAAAGTAATAGCAGCTTAGCTGCTTAAAACCTTATATTAGCCTTAAGTAAGATTAGAGCTTATATATTCTTAATAAGACTACGTGTTTAAAAGCTCCTATAGCTATTAGTATATATTATTTTAGATTTCTAGATTATAGTTCTCTACTCTAAGTAGAGCTAGTAAGTTAGATAACTAAAATATAGCTCTAAGAGTAAGTAAATAGAAGTAGTTAAGGCAGAGATAATATATTAAGATTATTATTTAGTTATTAAGCTTAATAAGTTATAGACTAAGGCTAGGTAGTAGGCGCTACTTATAATATAAAAGTTTATATAGAGTATAAATTAAGATTACTCTTAAAGATTCTTATAATAAAACTATTATTACTAGCATAGCTACTTTTTAGTAAGTTATAGCTACTTTACTTATATAATAACTAGTATTCTTTATTAATAATATATATACTCTAGAGTAAATTAGATTTCTTAAGAAGTATAAGACTAACTTACTTAACTATATCTACTAAGCATTATAAAGCTAAAGTCTCTAGCAGATTATTATCTACTCTGTATTAGCTATAGCTAAGAGTTTTATTTTACTTAATAAAGTTAACTTTTATAGTAATATAAATTATAAGAAGTAGAGAAGAAGAGAGATTATAGTTATAACGCTATTATATATTAGATACTTTATATAGCTAGAAAAGAACTTAAGTTTATCTAAATAATAGATAATCTAGAGATAGAAAACTAAGCTTAGAGCTCTCTATGCTTAGCTAGAATAGAAGCGTCTGCTTAGCATATAATAAGAAAGTTTTCTAGAGAAGTATAAAAAACTAGGCTTTACTAAGTAAAAGTAGTAGCTACTTATAGCT